CCTAGAGAACAAGCTGACTTTAGAAGTCTGTAATACGCTTTGCTCCTTGATTCAACAACACACCAACAACCTGAAAATAGTTCTCCAACTCATTGACATCATTCTTGATAAATTCCAACCACTCTTATCTCGGCAAAAGATGACATCACTCAAGGAGCAACGTCTAGGAGCTCACTGTTACAGAGAGATCAAATTCCGTAAAGTGGCAAACTATGAGGAGTACAGTCAACTCCTTTTCAAGCCTCTCATTCTCATCGAGCAACTCATTATGAACTTCCAGATCCACACTGCCTCCCAGCTAGTAGAGACACACAGCGAACAGTTCATAGAGTGCGATCTCACATCCAGTCTGGACGCTCTTATCAAGCTCTACATCGGCAAATCTCTCTATTATGAGGGAACTAGAAAAAGCGATACGACTAGTGGATCAACAGCTTACTCAACCATTAGCAGAGCTACAACCATGTCAAGGAAAGCGCCGCTCACTGTTTTTAATCCTCCCTTCAAAGGAAGTACCAGTAAAACGAGTAGGGTATCCAGGAAGATATCAAGGGAAGAGCAGCAGTTCCCGATACCAACCTCTCCTGTGCAATGGGTCGATGATAAGAAAGTAAAGAGGTGTCAAATCTGCAAACTAAAGTTCACCTTCATCGTAAGAAAGCATCACTGCAGATGGTGTGGCCGGGTTTTGTGTGACAAGTGTGCGCCTACTCGACCTCCAACATCCTACTTTGGGGCGTCTGTACGACTATGTTGGGGCTGCTATGGAGCGGTACAGGAGGGACGTTACTCCGAGGGAGCAGAGGTGGACATGACAGAGGACATCACCACACTTTACAACCCCCCGTTTGAAGTGCTGAGTACTGACGCTGAATACAATCTGGACACCAGGGAATCTTATAGCTTCACAACTGCTCCCAGCTCAGAACTCTGCCTCTACTTGTCCCGTATGCTGTCTCAGTCCAGCCCTCCAGGAGACGTTCTATTAGCGCTCTGTGAGAATCTTAGTGAGACGATAATGGAATCTATTTCTCTCGAGCCAGATAGAAACTTTAGCCACATATTGGGAGTGTTAGAAAATGTTTTGAAAGAGGCTAGGAACTGCTTCAGAAGAAGGGGCGTGTCAAACAAAGTAGAAGAGACAAATATTTTCATAGCATACATTCAGATCTGTAGAAGACTTCCGCTAACCGACCTAGCTATGATGCCTCCAATGAAGAGTCTCCTAAAGTCTGAGACACTACATAACACTTACATGAGTTTGTTGGATAAACAGTACCCGCAGATGGCTATTAGTCTCTGTACTACAGCTAGAAGAGACCCACTAGGTCTTTGGAGAAGATGGGGCTTCCAATGTCTGCGATCCGGGGACTATCCAGCAGCAAGGGATAAGTTAGAAATGTGCTTAAAAAGTAAGCAGTATAACCAGGCTATCCTAGATGAGATTATTCACCATCTTGAGAATTGTTTGCCATCCTTCCTGGCGGAGACAATCGATTTTGCGGAGCTGGTTGCGGACATAAAGAGAAAATGTAAGAAACAGAGACTCAACTCTTCGCAATTTGACGAATGTGTGTTCTACTTGTCAACCTACTCCTCACCAGTGCGTCTACTTCAGTTCTTTGTTCGACACAACGCCATAAGTCGTGCTGCCAAGCTGGCCCTCCAGCATGATTACGATATTGTTTACGAGGGAGTCATTGGGCCCCTAATCAAGACTGGACGACTGTCTGATGTGTTTGACTACATCAACTCAAACAGAGCTGAGATACAGGTCTGGGAGAGGAAACTAACACACTGCTGTAAACTGCTGAGTGAAAAGGGGGATCTCACCAGTGTCTATTCAGTTCAGTTCTTCCTCAGGGAATATCTCAGTGCGGCTAAAACTGCTATTCTCATGCTACGTAATGAGCTGAGTGTCAAAGAGCAGCTCAAGTTTTTATACAAAGCAGAGGACTGCTTCAAGGCATATTTAGAACAGAAGGAAGGGGACGAGACGACAATACCGGAGATCAACACTCGAATCAGTCACATCCATCTTCAACGGCAAATCTTGGAGTTCCTCAAGTCAAAGCAGATCAAAGACAACAACAACAACATCCACATTTTCAGCTCTAAAACAGACAAATCTACAGTGATCAAGATGCTGTACCAGATTGACAGCGTGGAGTGCCTGCCAATAATCCGGGCTATACGGGACACGTTCTCACGGAGCTACACAGAAACATACCTCCCACTCATCAACATACTTCTCAAAGCTCAGCCTGCTGGAAACATATCCATGTGGTTCCCAAAGCTCATCAAGCTCCTGGGGGAGGTGCCTGACAGTCAAACTGACGAACTGTTGCTCAGCGTGTGCAATGATTTGAAGGGGGAACAGAAGAGTTTTGAGAGAATCCTCGCCATTATGAAGGATGATAGAACGAAGATCAAGGCAAACGTAAAAGCGGGGTATTTAAAGAATGCGTACATTCTGGCGGTGAACAAGAAGATGAGGGAGGAAATAGTGGAATTAGAAAAGGAGTGTGAGAAACAGGGAGACACACAAGTTAGGGAGTTCTGTAGAAAGTACCTCCAACACAACAAACCTCCCGCTTAGTGGGAGAACACCACTTATTCGCTGCATTAATTACTCTGTGATGGATGGAAACGAGAATATTTTCAGGGCAATTGAACCGAGCTTGCATTATTTTGGACTAGAACGATACTAACGTTTTTTAGAGATGCATTTAAAGGCAGAAAGAATTATAACCTTCTTCAAAAACATTTTATAACTATTCACTCATTTTGTACAATTTTTAATTAGATTTAATCGATTGTTGTCATCTTCGACAAGGATTAGTATTTCTATGTTGTAACTTATCGGTGTTTTAATAATATTGAGTTTTGATATCCAAATTCTGATACACCGCTATATTTATTTGTTTTCAAGCAATTTGCCAGCTCCTTGGGATTAATTTCTTTATTCATAGCGATGACGACAAAAATTGAAATAATAAATTTTTGCTTTTAAAGCTGCTCCAAATAATAAGGGCTTAAGGAAATTTTGTCTCAACTCTAGTTGCTCATCCTGCGGTAACCTCGCATATTGTGCTCACATTAACTAGTTAAAAATGAAAGTCCTTATATTGTGCTAAATTCCAATGGATCAAATTCATTTCAAAATAATGGTAAGAGTAAGACTTGGAGTGCAGGATGGAAAAAATGTGCAAATTTTTCATCGTTTTGCATCTCAGAGTGGGTAGACAGAGCGCATGAACTAGCCGAGCTCCTGTGCTTAGCTCTCAAGGTGAGGTAATGAGGTAATTAAAAAAAACAGTCGTTATATAACAAAAAAAGGAGGTGTGGAACATGAGTATCGATCGACAAATTGTCGAATATGCATGAGGAGTTGAGGTAGTTCGCGCGCGCGACAGACCGCGTGTTACCTCTGTCACAGAAGATATAAAAAGAGAGCATTTTCATTCTAAATTTTATATCGCGTGTTCCGTTTATTTACGAAAAAGTGACTACTTCAGAAGGACTTTCGACTAAACTGTTCCAAATAGTAGTTATAGTAGTAGTATTAGATACCATCGTGGAGTAAATGGTCTCCTGCTCTTTTTCCGCCTCAACATGGCGAAAAAACATGGGCATGCAACCTGCAATGCGACGGTGATCGCAGCCCTTACGGAAGACTAAGAGGTCTTCATTTTCCTATATTTAATGATACATAACGATAACTTGTAAACCCAAAAAGTTACCAGTATCGTTATGAATCGGTACACTTACTGAGCTTGGTGTTACTTGGCCATGAGGAAAGTTTAGATTGGCTGTAAAAATTTATAGAAAGAAATGTCCTTCGTCACATACAAGTTTAAGTGAATTTCTATATGTGGCAAATTTGAGACATCGCTTCAAACTTAAGAAAATATCTCCAAATCAGTGAATTCTACGGAACACGGTTGATATTTTTTCGTGTTTGAAGTGTTATCTTAAATTTTATACATAGAAATTAATCCAAACTTGCACAGTATGTCATTCTCAAACAAATCTTATTATCAGGAAAATTTGAGGAAAATGATAAATTCCAGTTTTGAGAAAATCGAGTTCCTACTTCCTTGCTAAGGTTTAATGGCTACTTAAGAAAATGCTCGCATTTAATGAAAGGATATATATACATGTATGTAGTTGGCAAAAAAGCCTTACCCGTGGGAGCTTTTGAGTTTTGAAATAAAGATCGACCTGGTATTTAGGGTTTCAATCAATTCCATCAAGTTATCTAGCTGCAAGCTCTCTTGAACCACTTCATTTACCGACGCTTTAAATGATTTGAGAGTGGGACGTTTAAAATGGGGGTTTATCAAATTGGCAACAGCGTGATAACCTGAAGACAAGTAAGGAGCGAATCCACATCGTCTTTATGATCCTTTAACTGATTTTCCGATTAGACAGGTCAGATATAACATATACATGTATGTTAGTCATAATGAGATTGAAGTTATATTATTTAGGAGCCTTGAGATTTAAAATGGAAGATACTTGTTTACTTCACTCTATTATAGGCTTTGTTCGAAACCAACATATAACTATCAAACGCTTTTCCAAAAGCCTGTTCATCTCTTAACCAAAAGGCCAAGATTCATTGGAAAAAAGAACAATACTTGATTCGTTTACCCCAAGGCTACCTCTAACACCCTACTTTGGATCTCTTAAGCCGCCCTTTATTAGACTAAATGTGCACCCCTAAGGCCACGCTAATCGCTATATGCATGCCCACTTGCGGCTTGCCTGATGGATTTTTAGTGCCCCATCGAATTTTCTCCATCACCGATTTCAAGCTTAGAAAGTGAGCATAGATTGTAGATTACACACGATAAAGCGACCTTCTTTCTTAAAAATGGAGCCTCCTATTATAATGATCCACACAAAGCTATCAAGATCTACAGGATCATGGTCCCACTTATGTGTCTAAACAGCAGTGGCCGGGTTCACTTAAGACGCCAGAAACGAATATTCACCTGTGATTCAAGCTTTTGTAGGCTGGTCTTGTACAACTTAGCGCATTCTCTCTGAAATGTACAAACCGTGAATGTCGAATCTAAGATTTTTTAAACAGATATTGTCATACGAGCTGTTTTATTAAATAGCCGTACCTATAGCAATTTTGACCGTCTAGTAGTGGCGGATATTTAAAGGGTTATGAAGGTTTCTCAGTTTCTGTAGCCTGAGTATCAAGCTCGATCACAAATTTACTAAAAGTCACGATTTTAGTAAAGACCTTAAAAGCTTTAAGGAAAGGTATCGTAATCAGTAATGGTATGATACTAATGGGTGTTAGTAGGTTTGCCAATAACCAATATAGCCTCATGAAGTAATTCATCAAAGAAAACATGAGATGTGAGAGCAAATCACTGCTTGCTAAGATAGGAGTCAGCTTAAGGAGTGTAAAGGAGCCAACTAAAGGAGGATAAAGGAGCAAAAAGGAATAAACTTTAGAAGTGACCAGGAGTAAAATTTGTGAGTTTAGGAGTTAACTTCAGTTTAGGAGTTAATTTAAGTTTTGGACAGATTTTAAAATCAGGAGTCAACTTTATCTGTTAAAAGGAGTTAACTTTTCGAGTGATCAAGAGAGTCGAGAGCTAGCATCATTTTAAGAAATTTAGATAATTAAACGTACGAAATCAGCTGAACTGCCAAAAAAGGTGAAATGCAACGTACCCATTCGTTTATCTCGCATCTTAGGGTCGATATTTCAGAGTTCTGGTCTTCAACTGAAAGGCACAGATGTTGAAATTTTTAACAGTGACAGTAACGAAGTACAAATGTAGAAGCATTTTCAGAACGAGTTAGAACGTGTTAATTATTAGAAACTAGCAGGAACCCGTATTACTCTAAAGTGGTGTCAAGACTCAAGAGACTAAAATAATTATTACCTATTTAATTCGCGTTTTTGACACCACTTGGGGGTCCAAATTTTGGGCACTAAAATAATTATTCCTTGGCCAATTTTTTATTTTTTCATGCTGATTTGAAAAGCATAAAAGCATTTGACTCAGTCAAAAAAATTTCAGTTGTATATATTTACGGTTTTTGCGGAAAGTTGCGTTAAAGTTGATGCCGTGGTGTCAGTAAAATGGCACAGATAAATATATATATATTTTTTCGATATTGCAAATTTTTAATAAATCATGTTCAAGGTTGATGGTGATAATGGATTAAAGGTACATAATAGACAGAAAATCATACAACATTAGAGAATATGAGCTGTAGAGACAATCTTAAGTCAAGTTAATTCTCAACGGCTGCGCTTATGGGTGGGTTGTGTTAGATGAATAAAATATAAATCAGAAAGCATACCGAGTATGCCGTTGATTACGACTCAAGCATATCTTAACGTCATCGTCTGGAACATGGCGAACCAAACAATCTGACTAAACATCTAATAAACTCTGAACGAACAAGCCAAAAAGTCTGACACAAAAACTTGATTGAGACAGAAATTTTAGCATCCAATTTGAGTCTGTGTTAGGTTTTAATTTCAACACCAAATCAGTTACCCATTGTCTTCATGTTTCTCTTTTTTATAGCGATTGTAAATCTACCCGTTCATTCGTAGTTAGATGTACCGTAGCTAGGTTATGCATAAATTTCCATTCATTTAATTGTGATGTAGCTTTATATTAAAATTTCAGTTTATTCAATTTTTCGTTTCGATATCGCAATATTATTTATTATTTTCATGTTTTGTACTTTTGGTAATAATTGGAAATTGAGGTACATCAATAATTAACACCACGTTTTTGCAGTGCCCAGTACGACCCAATCAATAATTATTTATTATTTACTAACCAGGTGAGCAAATACTGCTATTATATGATTAACACATTCACAAGGACATGAGTCTCTCGATGAACCTGCTACACACCACACTAAAGGTCTGGACTCTCCTTTTTCCCCTCCACCCACTCATTGTATCCTCAATATTCATAATATAACGTTGATCGAAGACAACTAATATAATCATGATCACTTACTTGGGTATGTGAACGACAGCAATTTGATTGATTTTGTATTGAATTTCAAACTGTATCAAATAAGTCTTTTATAAGTTTGTTCGCAGATTTATAAATCTATGCTGTCATTTGTAGTTATTACCTTGCTAGTTATGAGTAAATTTTTGCCTTCCATCAATTGAGTGCAGCTTTCAGTTTTAAAATTTTCAGTTTATTCAGATTTTTCGTTTTCGATATTGCAAATTTTTAATAAATCATGTTCAGATTATGGTGATAATGGATGTAAAGGTACTTCAACCGAATTAACAATCCAACCGTGTGTATGACGTGTCCCAGTAGCCAATCATAATATATATATATATATCGTCTCGCTTTATATATAGTAAGATATAGAGTACTTTTGAATAGTGCATCTTTACCTGCAGTGTCAAGGTCTGACTTCGTCTCGTTGATGCTGAAAGAGAATTAAATGACATAATTAGAAGAGAAATCATTACAGACATCATTAGAGAAATAACTGAGCTGTAGAAGACAACTTTAAGTCAAGTTGAACGAGTTCATCAGAAGGCTGCGCTGTTGAGGGGGTTGTGACTTAGGTATGAATAATATATTAAGATCAGGAAAGCTAGGAAATAACACGGTAGTGGCCGTTTAATTACAGACTTAAGACTAGTATTTATATAGATCGTCATCGTTAAAAGAGTGAACAAGGCTGAACAAACAAGTCTGAACAAACAAGTCTGAACAAACAAGTCTGAACAAACAAGTCTGAACAAACAAGTCTGAACAAACAAGTCTGAACAAACAAGATATAATAAATGCCATTCCTACTTTTTGAGTCTGAGTGTTAGGTCTCTAACTTCATCCACCAAATCAGTGTTATAAACCTCAGCAGTGGAGATCTGCTCCTTCAGTGACTGGTTCTCTTTTTTTAAGGAGTTGTGATCGTACCCGTTCATTGGCGGATAGTCCCTGAAGAGAGGATACACGTCACTTAGGATATGCAATACTTATCCCATTCAGTTTTTAAATTGTGATGTTTGCTTTATATCTAAATCATGTTTTATTTGTACAATTTATCTCATCTGATTTATCCGCACAACTGTTATTTATTATCTTATGCAGTTTTTGTACCTATGGTAACAATAAGTTGGAAAATTTGGGGGACACAAATAATTAAACACACGATTTACCATTTAGCTGTGCGGCTCAGTAGCGACCAACAAAATCCGAAATAACTGTCACTTGTCAAAACAAATTTACTTCACCTCCAAACCAGAAGTGAAGTCTATAATTGTTACTGTAATTATAATATTAACCAAGGTTACCATGGCCATGGTAACATGATTATTGAATAGTAACCATGGTAACAACTCACCATGAGAGAAGACTCTCAGTAGTACTACTCTCTATTGTGGTGTTGTCATCACACTCCGTCTCATATGTATCCTGCAAATATTAATAAAATATCACGTGATACCGGTGATAAAGTACAACTAATATAATATCGTCACTCTCCGTCATGAGGTCAGTGTGACACTGTGACGGCTCACTTTGATTGATTTTGTAGAATTGCACTTTGCAGATCTGTACAGCTGGCAAGTAAGCGTGTGAATAAGAAGGGGGTTTGGTGCGCACGATCTTAAGTACAAACAACTAATAGCAATGCATACAGCTCTTAATATGGTATAATGCAGCAGCTAGCTAAAATGGACAGAACTCAATAAATCTGGACACGTGACTGTGTCACGTGGGGTACTCACGATTTTTGGGGATCTGGAGTACATGTCCTTACTGAAATGTAACGATTATTAGCGCGAATTGTGAGAGAATCTGATAGTAGTGTGCTGTGTGAATGTAGCTACACTCCTGCGTGTAGGAGTGGAGATATCAATATGTGTGTGTGTTGCATCTGTGCATTAGATTAGATTGACATGATGTAGGCACCACAAGCAGCGGGAGGCTGGTTGCCATGGTTACACCTACTCAGTTGTTATGAAGCTTTATAGTGCGTGGAAAATTTATTCTTCGAAATTATCAGGATGGGAAGTGAGCCAAATTCTACCTGCGCGGGCAGTTTTAAACCTGTATTCTGCGAATTTGTGTTGGAAAGTTTCACTTAAGTGACTTAACACAATATCAAGAATGAAAACAAACCTTTGTTCAGACTCGACCCAAACGGAGAACTTTTCCTGAAACTCAGAGAACTGTAAGCCCTCATTAGAAGCAGCTGGATCCAGACATATTAGTAACCTTCTTAACTGATCATCCGCCTGAAATAAAGTCAAGTCATTATATTTAACTGTTTCAATCCCTAATTTTAATATTGAGAATGGATGTGTCTTTAAAATAATTGGTGGCTGTGAGCTTCGTGAAGAGTGCCCCAATTGATTTTAGCATTTATAATAAAAATAATCCTGGAGTGATAAAAAGTTACAACAAACATATTAATTAGACTGATACATGCAATTTAATCTATCTAGGGGATAACTTAAAATTAGGATGAACAAAAAAGGGTTATATCAGAACAGTGACATTGAAGACAAGATGGCACTGTAGTTTAGATTTCAACTGTTTATTGAGAACAGTAGTCAACATTTCAGGTGCTCCAACAAACAATGTAATAATACCATATTTGGTGGGGCTTTAAATGACAAAATCCTAAAATCATAAAATTAGATTCCTTAAGCGTTAGACACGAAGTCCGTCATATCACCTTTACGTAGTACTTTTTGTTGCTTGTTACTCACCGCCCTTTGTTCTATTGTTGATTCTTATTTGTGTAGAATTGGATATGGCTTTGCTCTCGAACAGCACTAAGGGCAGTTTCTACGGCTCTACGCTTGGTGATGGTGTAACCATAGCAGCGAGTACACCAAAAGAGCTTCCATCATGGACAGATTTAACAAAGAAAAGACAAATAACAACACGGATTACTGACCCCCTCTCAGCGTTATCTTGGGACAAGTATGCAAAAAACTTAATGATCAGATACCTTTCCCAGTTTTTAATCACAGTCAGTTTAGCGTACAGAAGTGTAAAATGTACATGTACAAAAAGTATATCCCGAAATAACATTGCAGATTATCGTTGAGACTGTTGCTTGATAATGGTACCTACAAAGTTCTGCTAAATGAAGTGTCTGGAGTACTGCTGCAGGGAGAACTTGTGGCTATACTCGGTCCAAGTGGTGCAGGTTTGGCAGCTTAACACTTTAACCAGGGGCTTATTTTTAACAGATGGAAACATCTTCAGTTTGTTACATCCACTCTCCCAACTTTTAACCTACCCTGTTTAGGTAAGACGACTTTGTTAGACGCGCTGTTTGGCACGCTGCCAAAGAAAGCCCTTCTCACAGGCAAGATACGAAAGTGGCCGATAGATCGGGAACTTGTCCAGGAGATACGGCCTGATTTAGTGTTATCAGGATCAGAGGGGACAAGTGTAGCGTACATTCCTCAGCATGACCTGTTCTATGAGACCCTGACCCTGCAGGAGCACCTCAACTTTCAAGTAACAATATACAATCATGTTACTCGGTTATATTATCCTGGTCAAACATATTATTATATGATCTGGGGACTTGGAGCGAGACAATATATTGTGTGGACACCAGGACACGTACAATGTAGTCAGTTGTCAGTACATTTATAGGATAATAGAATATGATGGATATGATCCATTCCGTGTCTAGCCGAGATCCTATTATAACAGGTTTTAACATCGACACTTACAATTAACACCTCTTAGTGGATGTAACTTAACATGGCCAGTCATTATCCGACCCATATTCTCTAGGTTGTACTATGTACTTACTACTTAGTGCAACCAACGGTGCGGACTGCGGGCCCTTCGCGGACAAATATTTATTTGAGCAGTTTTTTATTGTAAAGTAAGAGTCAGGGGGAAATAATTACATGAAATTTTAAAAAATGTACTTGTAGCAAAACTTAGATTAACCATTACATTACATCTAAAATATAATTATATCAAAATTAGAAAACTCAATCGCCCATTTACTTTTAGGGAATTCCATAGTTCCGTAAAGAAAAGTTACTTTTATAGTGTACGTCTGATAAGATATGATTTTGTGGTGTTTCTGGTGTAAAGCAGCTAGGTTATTAAGTGGCTGTCTGACAGTCGCACAGGGCCGAGTTGGTTCCATCCCTGCTACCATATCTCCAAGATACAGAAAATAGCAGTGTTCAATTGTTATAGTCCTGTTGGAATTACAATAACGCGTAACTCTCTGAATATAACATTTTTCCGACCTGATTAACATTTAACAGCTGGATAGTTATACTGACCACCTGTTTCTTTCCACTTACTTCAATTACACCTCAATTCTTATAACAAACATTATAACCTTCTTAGTTCTAGAGTAAGATTTACAGTATTAATTCTATTTTTATCACAAACTAGAGTGTTATATATTATACAGAGTGGTATAGTAGTTTCTCACGTGTACCTGCTAAGTGAGATAAGTGGACGGTACCCAACAGAATCGTTCATATTATCTTAATGGTGAAAAAAATATATTTTATTTTATGTTTGATGTAAAAATACAGGTGGAGCTGAGAAAAGGGACACGAGATGATAACTTAGTGACAGAAGTAATGTCTCAACTTTCATTGCAACACGCTACTGATACTATTATCTCAAATCTTTCAGGTTAATAGTTCAGAAATAACAATCAATATCTTTCTGATCCGCTGAATTCCAGGCTAAGTGCGGTATCAACACAATTTGTAACTTATATGTATAAACCCATTGTCACCTAGTCTACGGAGAAGCTAAGGATCCATTCGCATTTGATCTATGCGAAATTACACATCTGTGTAATGTCTCCTCGGTCGACTCAGCCGAATGATAGGAAATGTGATTGAGGGTTAAATGAGGACTGAGGAGGGGCTCTGCCGAAAGATCAAGAATCTTCCTAGGATACCCCTTCAGTACATCTACTTTGTAGTGTAATGTAAATATAGTATTATAATATATTATAAATCCTTATAAATAATAAATAAAACTGGTAACAGGAGGCGAGAGAAGACGAGTTTCAGTAGCAACAGAGTTGTTATCAGAACCAACATTCCTTTTGTGTGATGAGATAACAACAGGACTAGATATGTTTCAAGCTTTACAACTGGTTAAGTGCTTGAAGGGATTGAGAGCTACTGGAGTGCTCTGTACTATTCATCAGCCTCCTACACAGGTAGCCAGTTTGTTGCACCGTGTACTTGATCATAATCCACCGCAGTCATTATACGTTGAATAAAACAGTTATTCCAGAAAATCCAGAACTAATTCTCTACATCAAGATTTTACAAATTCAGGTAAAACTATAAATGTACAGCACAATGTTTAATTCCCAGGTATTTTCTTTGTTCACAAGATCCATGTTCCTGGTGGGAGGAAGTCTCAAGTCGGAGGGAACACAGGACCATATTCTAGAGCAGTTTGAAGGGCTGGGATACCCCTGTCCTCCTACTAACAATCCTGCAGACTTCGTTATCAGGGTACTGAGTGCTGGTTCTACTACAGAGGTAGGTGGGAACTGTAATGACTTGTCAGTTGTCACGCGGTATATACATGATAAGGAGGAAGCGTTATTATAACTAATAGTCATCTTAGTTGTAGTGTAATTCTTGGAATGAACACGTGTATTTTCTGGGTACAGTAGATGACGGCGATACAATGCGTATTTTAAGATATTACCATTTGTTGAATTATTAACGAGTACGCCATTATTTGAACCTGACAATATTAAACATCAGCTGGACTGTAGGTCACTGTGGAGATCAAGTTACCTCAGCGATCATGTGTAAATTGAACACATGACCACTGCGAGGTCTCAGTGGTCGCTGTTATATGGATTTCATTAGAGCTGGACACGCTCACCCACAATCACAGAGAGGGAGGGAGTCTCAGTCAATAGTCAATACGAATTATAAGCTCACCTCCGCCTTGTCAAATTTCGTTTTTATTATCAGAGAACCTGTCAATGGGAGGAATATATGGAGTTTCAATAAAACACTGCCAAGCCATGGTGGAGGTGGCTCTCTCTCTTTTTTTGGTCACGTGACATGACCTCAAATATCATGCACACTGTCTCAGGATCTGTCATGCTGTGACGTCATTACAATCCCAGCACTACACCCCCATCAAATTAGCTCGAATAAATTAATTAATAACTCTCTCTCTCTCTCTCAGCGATCGTACAGAGAGTTTTTGGATAACGTGGAGCAGATGTACAAGCAATCTAAAAGTAGCTATATCTCAGACTTTCTAATTGAGGTAGGGAAGCAGGATTGAAAGCATTGTTAATTTGCAACATGTTCTTATTTTGCGACAACCATATATTTAATTTGAAACGAAATTAGTGGTTGGTAATAGTTTGAATTATTAATTTGCGGTTGATTATAATATTGAATTATTAATTTGAATAGACTCACAAGTGTCAAACAAAATAAGGTGACAATGTCTGACCATTACAATTTTATAACATGTACTTTTAATATTAACTGCCTTTGACCCATACTTTATGACGTTCTAAGAAAGTAATTTTAATGAGTCACACAGAAACCATGATAAAAGAACCGTAACTCTCATTGGACAAGCTCCGACTTATATTACGTCAGCAGCTATCTTGGACATGTTCTGACTCATTAAAAATAAATGTATCGATAAAAGTAATATTTTCTGACAGGTGCACGGCAAGACAATGAACAGGGAGCAGCCAGGGAGCGGACGCGGGGAGAGAGTGTCGTACAGTAAGGAGTGGTGGTTATTGTTAAAACGAACTGCTACCTACACTGCTAGGTTATCTTTAATCTTAGAGTACAGTTAAGATAAATATTTTTAACTGGTATCTACTATCTACTATCTATCTTTTAGCGTTCAGCTTAGGAAAGTTTTTATGTACATGTATGATGTAGGCTACATTAATATTCATATTGGGGCACCTATGATTCAAATTCTTGAATCTTGATCCTTATACATATTCAGTTATGGATTGAAGATAAAGCGCTCTAAGCCTGCCGGCACTCGGCAGCTAGGCTATATTTTGTAATAGAATATTTTTCAATTCTTTTCTTCTTTTGTAGAGTCCTTTACCAAATACGGTCTTCGGATGCATTGAGTGTTAACAAAAGGAAATCACATTTAAATATTTGCCGGTTACACTGAACACAGGAAGAAACTATGAGCAGGGTGTGCGTGAAAAGTAATCATACCTTTTTTGGAGCACACGCTGGCCGATAGGGCGGATGTAATAGCAACCCTACTAATAGCAACCCTACTATACGTTAAAACTATCATTCAATGTGCACATTTGAAAATACTTTGTAGGCTGTTTTATGTTTCTCGAACAGTCGGGAGGATCACATGCTACTACTCATGTCTGGGATTGGACAAAGAATAACCTGTTATACTGCGTGTGCTGGATCAACCTCTAGCAGCAGCAAGCTACATGATGCTACTAGTTATTTTTGGTAACTTGCAAAGTAGTGGCGCACAGGCGCAAGGTAATTGGAGCAGCCAGTACGGACTAGAACCGATTACTGAACATAAAACCGAGGTTATCTCATGATTACTCATAATCTTACCGGCCAAGCATGGCGGAGCACTTAGAATTTACGTCATCTTATAGAAAAAAATTAATTGTGAGTTTAAATTAGTAACAATCTCCTAATTAACTTGGTAATAATCTCAGGGATAAAGTGTACAAACGAGTGAGAGTATTCCAAGTAGTTTTCATCTCCCTGATTCTAGGACTACTCTACTTCAACACTACCCCAAACAACGTTCAGAATATCATGGGCAGTCTCTTTTTTCTCCTCATCAACCTCTCCTTCTCAGCTATCTTCGCTACTCTCCAAACCTTCCCAAACGAGCTCCCTGTTTTCAGGTACTCATAATATAATAATATAACACATAATATAACACATAATATAATGTACGCACTACAACTTTCATAAATGGTAAGAGATCATCCACCTAATCTTCAATATTATAGGAGAGAGTATAAGAATGGAGTTGCGAGGATTGGGCCGTATTTTCTGGCTAAAACGCTGGCAGAGTTTCCATTTTACCTCATCTACCCGACCATCTACATTATCATTGCTTACTTCCTAGTCGGATATACGGCAACAGCGGTAAGTTTTATTTCCAAATATAATTTTTTGGTTATTGATGTGTTTTGTTGTGAATTTTTAAGGCCGGTGAAAACTTTATATTGTAGCTTACTGCAAGATATTAAAAGTGAAATCTTGCAAAATTGAAGCCGACAGAGATACCAAAATTAAAAACCGGCCAAGCTGTAGATCTGTATTATCCATCGTAACACAAATATCGGCTGTTGTTCTATTATATTACATAGAGTGGGAGCAAGAGACCTTGGCCTTTGACATGCTCCTTTAAAGCTGTAGAGAATTCCAAGAAATGCTAGAATTGGAGCGACATACCAAGCTTTTAGTAGCAATTAGCAAGGGACTAGACGGGACTACAAAGCAAATTAAAATGCGGCGTCCTTAAAACCCGGGACTGATATAAAATATTAATAGTATTACTTTATATTTTATCAATTTGTGGGCTATGCAAAAGTTTTACCAGACGAAGATGCATTATGAAAGCAAGCATTTAAAATGCCAGATCATGAAACTCTCAATTTCAGGCAAAGTTCTTCACATTCTGGTTTGTGATGTTGCTCGTTTACCACACTTCTCTCTCTGTTGGGTACCTCATATCTTCTCTAGCTGCCTCTCCCCAGATTGCTAACGCAATTGGACTACCCATCGGAGTTATTTTCTTTCTCTTTGCAGGTTCAGAAACTTCTATATATGGTCAAACGATATAAGCTGATACCTGTTGGACAAAGAAGTGATCATTATCCAATGCACTTGGTGCCGCATGAAAATGTTTTGTTGTATTCTCTATACAATTATATTGACTCAGTATACATCTCAGGTTATTTCATAACGGTCCCAACGATACCCAAATTTCTGAGATGGTTGGTTTACCTTTCCTACATGTACTTCGGGTACCAAGGGATAATGACGAACGAGTTTAAAGGTGTGGTCTTTGAGAATAACTGTACTGTCAAGTGTTCCAAGTGGAACTCCGGTGACCAGGTAGGCAATGAAATAAGGTTCCATAAATATTGTTTCTCAGAATGAAACATGCTACATATTACTACATGAATATTTATTTAAATATTCACGGTTAAAAACTGACGAATACCACGTGTACGTGGTAGATTATTATAACGGCAGTATTCTAACAGGTTCTGGAAGTGTATGGATTTTCAGGGTCCAACACTCTGCTGATAGACTCAACAGTGTTGCTGTGTTTCCTGCTGGGCTTGCGACTCGCTGGTTATCTAGCTTTATCAATCACTACAAAGAAGCGATAAAATTATTGCGCCGCACTCCTCACCTGTTTGATGTCACTTTCTTTGTGTACCCAGTTATTTCGTACGTAAGCAATGATCTCGGCTGATTTTACCACTCCAGAGCCGTTGCTGCACGCATCAAACACCATGGACGCCACATGGGAGGTGTCCCATTCATCGTAGTTTTGAGTTGTCTGAAACACAGCAGATATTATAATATAGTCACATGTGCCGTGAACTACTATTTAAAGTTATAAGCGCAAATTTCGAGATGATTTTGAGTTATGGTGCAAATATGCTTTCAATTTTAAATTGATATTTCTGATGGTTTAAAATATTTTGTCGATAGTTTTGTCGTTGTAGTATTACTGTTTCGAATTTACACATTTTGATTAACACTAATAAAAAATAAATAATGTGCTAAAACTGTGTATTATTGGTTATTGATGACCTATTCTATGTTCTGTACCTTTCTTTAGTACTTTCTAACTGAATAAGAGATAACAAACACGAACTACAACAGGGCACTGATAATACCCTATCATTATTGACAAAATAGCTTCCTCTATCTAAAGCTATAATTTATTGAAATCTCTACTTGCAGCTTTTATGGCCTCCACCCTCCCCTACAGCATCACTTGAGAACTCTTCTTATATAATTGTCTGAATTGAACACCTCTGTAACATTAATAACTATGGCTGAAATTAAAAAGAAGTACAACTTTAATCAGTAAATACTACCAAACACACGTATTACCTGTGTTTTCGGTGAGCCAATCAAATTTACAGCTTCCATAGAATTCTTCAGTCAGCCGAATGTGATGACTTGTGTCTCATCATTATCTAACAAGAATTCATCCTGATTAAAAACATGGATGGTTAATTTATCCAATTAATCAAGTAAAAAATAATGTGCACCTGGAGAATTTTAGTAGCACTAAAAATTAACACTGTCTTGGATAAATCAAGTCAAAGACCGAATGAGGATAATATACAAAATTAGCGATTAAAAATGAATGGTTTTACTTAAAACTAAACTAGGTATGAGGCTGAGAAAGTGTGAGATGGAGTATTCTCAAACAGCAAGTGTGCATTTAAGCAGTGTAGTGACTGTTATTTCCTAGTAAAAAACTTAATTTATAAAAGTAAGTTGCCTTAAAAAAGGCCACCAGATCAGTGTAAATAATTCCAGAAGGTTTGAGAATATCATTTATAGTTTACAGTGGTCTCAGCTCTGGAGTCTGTAGAGGAAAATGTAAGACTCTATTTCATTTGAGGAGGGCATACAAATTGTGCAATGTCTGGCTCATTTTTAATGTCATCCGCTCAGTGGCCTAACAAAGGGCCCTGCTGACCCCGCTGTGCGAAGGGGCGCCATCGTCGTTTGAATGTGGGACAATCTTGAAAAACTTAACTGGGGTACTAACAAAACTGTGTGTTTTACTCTAGAAACACACTTTTTATAGATTTTACTGGCGTATCCTCTAGAATCACCTAATTTATTCAATTTAAGGGAGGGGTGTCAAAGGGGGAGCTGGGGGGGGGGGGGGGCCAACAGGCAACGTTACGCCACTGCATCCGCTTGTGCTTGGTCCCAAATAAAATTGCATAACTACCTCAACAACAACAACAACAACAACAACGATTGATTGCCCCCACGCTGTAAGTCTGTCACTTGATCAGATGCAGCAGAGATAACTAAATCTGCCGACACTGACAGGATGGTTCACATTATCGTCGCGCAGCTCCTGAATGAGTTAGAGCCATGAAATTTTGGGAGTTGATTCTGTTTCAGATTCCATATACAAAGCACTACACTTGAACATAGGCATGTGCTCAGCAGCAGCTCTGTCCGCTCTTTAATAAATCCATTAACTTCCCATTATTAAATAAAAATAAATGCAACAAATGAACATGTTTTTGGAGTTTAATCTGATTTGCCAGTTTGCCTTGGAATTTTAAACACAGATTTTGTTACTGGGTGGTACCCAGCCTGTCATTCCACCGAATCTCTATTCATCATGTTTATGAACATTATAGCATGGGGTCCCAGGGTATAGATTTTGGAGCATAAAGCTGCGTTTCAAGTCATATGGTCATATTATATGGCTAAGACGATTTATTGACAAAAATAATTCGGTCACCTTATTGGGAGACTTTGCAGTTTCAAGTTGAATTGCATACATTTTAAACGACGTAAATAGTTTCAATGATATTTGAAACAGATTTACTTTGTCGTTTTTAAAACACTCATTCATCGAAGTTAACATATGCTTGTTCAAATCGTGGGCCAACAATGGTCAACAAAAAGTTCGTGGATGTTTCTTGAAAAAATCACGTGGTTTCAGCTCAGGCAATTTATTAACAAAAGTTTGAAGTTACTAAATCGCTTTATTGGAATACCTTGTCACTTGTAGTTTCAAGTAAAATTATATACATTTTTAAAAGACGTTAACAGTAACAAGTTATAACCATGGTTTTATAGTGATCGGTCGTTTTAGTTACGACGCGACAGGGATCAAACTCTCAGCCTTAATATAAGGATAATATAAGAATGGTTTAAACAGGCGCTTTTTACCAACTGCACCAAAAAATGTACATTTATTAATGAATTAATAACATAATTTCCATTTTTGCACAGGAAAAACTTTAAATATGCATGTATGAACATGGACAGCTATTATTTTGTCATTTGTAATAATTTTTAACTTCAAACTTAAATTACTCGGGCGCGTGCGCTGATCAGTAAGTAAGGAGCTAAGCTTAAGTCCAATTTAATTTGTTTTTACACAATGCAACACTAAACAATTGATTGACAACGTCAACCCTTCTAAATTGCGATCGTTGCTTTGCGCAGCAACGATCTAGATGCGGAGCAAAAAATGACAGTTTGCGCGGCGCGTCGAAGCGGTGACGTCTTCCAAACTAAAAAATAATACAATTTATTGCAAATATAAACTTTGATTGACGATTTCAATTGCTCTGCGAATTAACGCAGATAAGAGTAACGATCTAGTCATTTACTTTACCTGGGGACCTCAGGCTATCAGAGAGATTAGGCGGAATGACAGGCTGAGCGCGGCCCAGTAAGCTGAGCGCGGCCCAGTAAGCTGAGCGCGGCCCAGTAACAGTTACTTCGATGCGAAGTAAAAATAATAGTTTGCGCGGCGCGTCAAAGCGGCGAAGTCTTCCAAATATAAACTATAAAAATTTATCGACGATCCTGTTACCAATTTGTTTCATTTGCATCATGCTAGCTCCACTGCGATCTCGTTATATTACGAAACGAAGCAAGAGTAATAATTTGCTTGGCGGGTCGAAGCGTTATTGGTGACTGGGAAATGGGCGGCGTTCATCTAACAGCTTGTTATTTCGTTTATCATTTATGACACACAGTTTGGGGTCCCCAAGTAGGTCGAAGCGGCAACGTCCTCCAACATAAATCATAAATACAATGCAATTATTCAATTGGTGTATGAGTTTTATACTGCCAAAGTTTAAACTGCGTGCATTTCACATTGTTTTTAATATTTCTGTTTTCTTAGTCATCTAAGTTGTTACCTGGGGAACTCAGGCTATCATGTTCATAAACATAGAGATTAGGCGGAATGACTTGTCATACGTTGTATGACCCGCCGCGCACGAAGTGCGCGGCTCCCCTGTATCGTCGAAGACGATACAGTATAGTGAAGCGAAAGTGGGGGTCACCACGTGATACAAGGAATGACAGGCTGAGCGCGACCCAGTAACTAAGTTGCAGTTGTTTCAATGATGCATACATTGTACATATTTAAGCGCGCCGCTCATGTGCATGTCCAGGAAGTTTCTAAAAATCGAGCGCTTCTATTAGTTCTTCAATTAATTTGTGCTTTACAAGCAAAAAAGTTGACAATTCAACAATTCAATGATCTGGCGAGTCTGTTTTTAACCTTCTTCTGTGCAGAGAGGCTCTATTCGACTTGATGTAGCAACAATGTTGAACTTGAAATAGCGGTACAATTTTACACAATAAAATTTATCCGTGCAGACTCCGGCATGTGCCATGCCATGCGTCCCTTGAACTTACTTATCTGGGGACCTCAGGCTATTATATTTATGTTCATAATCATAGAATAGAGATTCGGCGGAATGAAAGGCTGAGTGCCGCCCAGTAAGAACTTACAAGTAGTGGACTCACTTTCATTTGTAATAAGAAACAATTTCGTAAGCTCACCTGGTTCAAATTCTGATACTGCGTTTAAATGAAGATGTGGTTAATGTTTTACCTTTGAAAGACATTTTCTACTCTGCAGATTCCATTGACTCGGACAGTAGCTGTTAACGGTTTGCCGTCTCGTTTAATCTATGGAGGCAAGAAAATGGACAAAAAATATGAGACCCCTTTATCAGAAGTCTCTTACAACCTCATCCCTGCCCCTATGATGAGTAGATTTGTACATATTGAGAAAAGACAATTTTTTTTTGAGAAAAGACAATTTTATTATTTATCACCAATTCAATACATAATCAATAAATATATATCGGAATAAATTTGATTTAAAATTAAATGAAACAAGTATGCTAGCAGCTAGCGCGCTTGTATTTAATAAATATTCACGCTGTTAAAAATGGGTCTTACCACACCGCCACTCACATTAGCACAGTTGGTGAACGGACCCAGGCGCTGTTAAGCTTTTATGAGCCCTGGTTGACTGCTGAGAGTGGCGACGGGTCTGACATTAATTTTATTTTAGTTTTCCCTATATTCCAATAAAATTTTAGTTTTGAGTTAAATGATTTTTATTGTTTATGCGATATTTAAGTTGAAGCTGCTTGCAATACATTATTGCTTGAAAATTGTTTAAATATGCTCGCTATACGCTTAATTTTTAGATACCGTATGTATATGTACACATCAGCTCATAATACTAAATAACAATAATAAATAAATTAAAAGCATGAAGAGGTCCAAAACCAGTTCAAGCATGCGACATCAGGGTGAATACATTGACATCGGAAGCTGCAAGCTTATTAACGTTTGATTCCACGATGATCCGTTATTATGCAGTCACCTTCAGGCGGTGTCGACGGATCATGCGAAAAGGGTTTTTGACAGGCTGTGCCCTTACCATAATTAAACTGAACCATTGCCTGGTACGATGTAAACATGAGTGGTGGATAAGAGAGCCGCGCAAGCGCTCGTGCGCGCGCGCATTTGTGTCACTCTGACAAATAGCGCTTGAATAATTTAGATACCAAGACGTAAATCGCGCGTTACGTAAAGTATCATTTTTCACTTCGGATAAAGCGAACGGTACACCCGCATGTAACCTTCTTCAATGGGTTGTGTGCGTGTTTGGTGGAGTGAGTGTATAATGTAATGATTGAATGAATCTTTTTCTTTTGTGGGGTATATGATGTGGTGATATATGATTTGAGTGACAGGTGTAAAATGTAAAAGATATAAATATAAATGGGGGTCTTTTCATAGGAAAGTGTTGAAGTTTAAGTCCTGCCAGTTAATATTGTTAGGTTGGTGTTGAGCCTTCATGATAGAATACTTCAATTGGGATTTAATTGAGCCTAGAGAACCTATTTTACCACGTGCATTTGACTGTTCAAGAAACGTATTCCATAGATTTGCCCCTTTATATGCGAAATTGTGAGATGAGTGTGGTGTCACAAATCTGTCATCTCTGAGCTGAGACTTCTTAAATAGAGATTGTTGATATTTCATATACATAATATTGGTAGCAGTGGACAATTTCTGTTACCTGTGTATTGTGCTCTGCCAATTGCATCACTTGATTTAATTGAATGCATGTAAGTAAGTATGTATGATCACAGACAACGGGGAGAATTAGGGTCTAGAAATTTCTTACAATTATGTGTTTTGCGTTCCTAGCGTTTCCTAAAAATTGAAATTTTTGTTCAACTTGAGAGAAGTTTATAAGATTTTCCTGGGGAAGTAATGTTTATTTTTTTGATTTAGCATAAGTCTCTTATACTGTCTTTGTGGTGAGTTATAATTATAGTTGCCTCCATTGTTCAATAACTGGCACTATCCAAGAAGTCTGGCGGAATTCCGCTTGAATATCTTGAAACGGAATTTGGGTAGGATTGTGGTCAGGGTTATGGTTAAATGGTTTACACAGAATTCCAGTGGTCGGGATTCTTGGATACTGCCACACCTTATAATTGATGTTTGGGCTGTATGTGTATTTTATTGTTAAGGTAGTCAGTCATCAATACTTAAGTCATCAATTTCTGAAGCTAATAGTGGGAGTTCATTTCCTTCATCTCCTCTGAAATACTAATTTACTTTAAATGTAGGTATGGAAGCAGAAGATGTAACGCAAAAGATTGGAGTACCCCACCTTACTTTGGAGAACTATGAGTTAGCAGATCCAGACACTAGATATATTCTAACTAGCCCTCGATCATTGCAGGCGTGTGATAGGTGTGGCGTCAGGTGAGCCCATTAATGTTAATAAGTACCAATATTTTTCGTAGAATATTTTTCCTCGTGCCAAATATCATTTTAAATTTTACTTTTACATTTTAAACTCCAATCAGGTGATTCTTTCAATATTTCTTTACAATATAGATGTGGATTCTGGTGGGGAGGTGAAGCATATTTTTTGATACGTGACTGATATTTAAAAAATCAGCTTAACCAATAAAAACCCTGGATAACTGTCACTAGTATAAACAATATGCTTCACCCCCCTATCAAAATCCACATCCGTAGTCGACCTACATAGTACATTATTTAACACATTTATTTTCCCTAAGGCCCATTGAGTTGTTGAGAACACCAGTCGAAGAGTTCTATAACCGTTACAAAGACAGGGATTACCTCACTCGGAGTGATATTCTCGATGAGTTTCACTTACAGGTACTATCATTTTCTTATCTGTTGACCTGTTTTTATTCAAGTTTGAATGGATGAAATATTAATAAGTGTCTCCTAAACATCCGACGTGTTTCATACTGGTTTCATTAGTAACTACATGTAACTTGTAATTCTACCCTACAGGAGCAAGTAAGACTTGCAAAGTTATCACAAGCACGTGAAGAAAGACAGCGTATTATTTACCTTGATGTGGAGAGTGAGGCTGCTAAAATACCACGCTATCTTCTTGGCAATGATGTCGAGAGAAGCCGCTCTGCAAGTCCGACTAAGAGGTCTCCTTCGAAAGTTGCGAAGAAAGTAGCTTGGGATAGTTCAACTAAAGGAGCTGAGCTAGAACTGAGAACCAGCTTGGAGGTGGCGCCGGATGCTATCGTCTCATCTCCTGTTAAAGCTCAGAAATCATGGGCAGAGTCACTCAGATCACCAGACTTAATCAGAAGATCTTCAACTCCAATACTTGACAGATCGTGTGATGATTTGTCGGTGATAGGGAGTAGAAATAGGATAGCACTCCGGAACAAATCAGCTAAACGATCCAAATCCGTTCCGCGAGGTGGTAGAAAGGCGAGTGGGGAACTGGGCAGACTCACATCACAAAGTGAGACAAGACTGAGCAGCTCGACAGAGCTTAATAGAAGTTATAATAACTTACAGAATGCTCACAAACAGCTTACTGCTAATGTCACTCAACTCGAAGCTGAACTAAAGGTTCATACTGTTCATAATAGTGTTTATATTTTTAGTTATAAGTATAACTCATTATTTCGCTTGACTTCATAAGCTACACTTGTAGCAATATATACTCGACAAGGTTTATTTAGGTTTATTTTAGAGCCTCTATTTATTTTAGTTATAACATTTTTGATATTTGACAGGCACTAAAGATTCAACAGCGCCGAGAGGAGGCATTACAGAAAAAGAAGGCTCACGTTGAGGCTTTGAAATTACAGAAACAATCCACCAATGCTTCTCATAGAACAAGACATGCCCGTACTAAACTTAACCATGTAAGATTTTTATCTTGCAGATTGAATTTCAGCTGCTATGCACCGGAAAGTTCTGTAAAACGTTCATTTTATGACGGATCAATACACATTGGTCTATATTTATGTGATACTGAAATTAGGGTTGGTTTTGAAGCTATTTCTGACGCATTTTAAAAACAATTTTAAAAATGTTTTTAAAATAATCTTTATCACATCATCGAAATGTCATATTGAGGTGGTAATATTCCATGCAGTGAGTAAAATATTAACTTGTTATGTCCCTCTGCTCAGAATCATCATCTTTGAAAATTACGGATACAATTTTTTAAAAGATATCTCTGTGGAGCAAAGTCAAAAAGTCGCATTTTCTGTCAATCAAGATTTATTATTTAACCGGCATTTTTTTTCTCAAAGTGTAGCGACTATTGTTCATAGAACACGGTACACTACCGTTTCACCTAAGAAATAGCAAATATTCGCTACTTGTCTATTTTCATGGCCAAATCTGTAAGTTTATAAACATTCGTCAACAGTTCTTAAACTCAAGTCTGTGAGATTAAGGTCAGATATAAATAAATAGACTAAATTATAAATTACTCTGACGTCAACTCCCTTTCCTATTCTCATTTCTCATACACATTAGTTGAAGCAAATTTTAGAGAAATGCAGGGTATATCAAAATCATATTGCTAATTTGATTTAATTAAGTGGGAGATGTTTTCAGGCACGACGTATTGACGAAGGAGCGTCCACGTACGCATTGCACCAACTCCATAACATGGAGTCATCACACAGAGCCCACTTGTTGAGAGAGACTCAGGCTCACATAAACGAACTTAAATCTGAGATAAAGCAACATAAAACCAAGCGTTCAGCTAGAATCATCAAGGTACATCAATATCAAAGCAATTTCTTTGAGCCTTTTTAATTCACCTGATTCTGACTATCTTTGACAACATTCCCTGAATTCTAATCGGTGTTATAAATTATCTTATCAAAATATTCTTCTCAGGAGAGCAGAGAAAGTTGGGAACAGTTGGTGAACAAGCGACAATCCCGTGCACTGCAGCGCGCTGATGTAAAGGTACGGCGCCACGTCAGGGACAAAAGTGCTACAGCTCGGCGCATGCGCTTGGAGAGACAACATGCCCACAACATGAGGATGGTTAAGGAAATGGAGGACCTTCAGTTGCTGCGAAACCTTGATAACATTATCAGCAAGGTAGATTTATTGAGCTAATTAATATAATTTTTTTATTAATTGATATAATATAATAATTTATCTTTACAAAATGTTTGGTAGCTGCTGATGTTGTTTAGCGATTAAGTAGCACAGTCAGTGGCGTAACGCTGCCCCGGCCACCCCGGCTACGCCGGGGGGCGCCACCCTCAGGGGGCGCCAAAAAGGCGCCCTTTCTCAACGAAAAGTCGCCCCTAGGTTTTTTCTTGAATTTTATGACCTCTCACTGAAAATAACGCCTTATTGGTGTATTCCCCTGTCCAATTTAGCGCTTAGTCGGTGTGAAAAAAATTTTTGGGGTCCTTTTTTTGCTCCAGGGGCGCAAAAAAGCTGTAGGGGGCGCCAAAAAAAGGTACCCGACTTTTTTTTTCTTTTTTTTAGGGGTCAAAAAATTTGGGCGACTTTTTCGAGCCGCCGGGGGGCGCCAAGTTAAATCAGCCACTAACGTTACGCCACTGAGCACAGTAAGAGCTGATAAATGATGATATCACCTCCATTCGGCTTTTCAGGACAAAACCTGTTTGTCGTAATTAAATTTAAGAAATTTAAGACAGAAGTAGGGAATAGGTACGATGTTTTTATAGGAATATTTTTGTGGACTAATCTGATTTTCTAATTGCACCGTTTTGTTTATTTAGCTTTGTTCCAGGTTGTAGATCTCCCCAATTTCATTACGTTTACTGTTTTCAGGACAAGAAAGCGGAATATTTGCAGTCAGAAAAAGAGCGGATGATAAAAAAGTGCCGATCTTCGTCTCAACGATCACGCAGTACCAAGATGCGCAACTCCAAATCGTTTGACGCAATGAGCCGTGAAGCAGATCTTATGGCACAACTGGAGGCGCGCACCACGGCACCACGTTGGAGATAAGTCAGAAGACGGTACTTAGTCCGGGGAGGCAATGATGGCTGGTGTTGGGTTATCTAGCTACCCTGAAACAAGGCGGAGCAGGGCTCTCTATTTAATTATAACCAACAGATACCCAGCATCATGCAGGCTACTAAACAAACTGAACAAGCTCTATTCAAAGTACCAGTCTCTGAGACGAACGAAATAGTAAATAGTGATATAATCTTACTCTGATTTGATTGGCCGGAACAGTTAGTGGTTACTCTTCTTGTTAGTACCGTGCAGGGTTGGTGGATTACATTTCACTCCATCGAATTGAACGCGTCATATTCAGCCACTCTCTGATCTAACTGATAGTTTAATACCAACCCCTCCCTGGTTATTCTGTCGCACTTTTTCTTTGATGTGGGTTGAATTTCGCTTTTAGACTACCTACTTAATATTCAAAGTTGAGGTGTGTTTTGGGATTCAAGTCACATATGTGGTTATTTTATGCTTGTTATAATGTGCTTTTGTTCCGGTTATTAGTCTTTAACCTTGTAAATTTCTCTGTATTATACATATATAAACTCTAAAGTTAATCGTATTACTAAGTGCATAATAAATACGAGGAATATATTCGTTGAAACTTTACCTCCATAATACTGGCTAACGTTCTACGTTTGTTCTACACAGTGTACACTGAGAGATACTTTGTATCTTTCCTACCCTTTCCTTAATGTGTGAGCTTACACAATTATTTGAACTCATGTTTTTACATCTCATGTACAGCTCATGTTTTTTTGCAATCTGCATTCTGCACGCTTTCGATATTGTCGAACTATATCAACTATGTACTAGTTTGCTTTAAGTCAAGATGGGAATATCTCTGATTTATATCAGTTTTGACTTTATTTTCAGCTTTTCAGATGATAGTGCTATTGTTAAAGTTCCGTTATGATAGGTATGGGAATTTAAGGTATGGTATCCTAGTTAATGTGAAAAACCTGACGTCATAGATTGTTGCTCAGTTGCATGCTAAAATTCCCATACCATAAGCTTGGCATACAGAACTGGATATCTAAAATCGAGTAGGCATGGCAATATCTATTGTTTATTGTTTATCAGACAGATTTATGGTTGTATTATATCATGATTATTTATGGCGTTACATGTATCTAATTGTAAATCTATTTATTTTGTAACGTTGCGAGACAGCTTTTGTTTATTTTGTGGTAAGTCTAGTTAAAACTACTGATCTACTGTCATATATGTTAAATATAAACCTTCATAATTATTGTGATTATATCAACGTCTCTGGATACCCCGACTAACTTGATATTATCCAGTTTTGGACAGCTTGTCATCTGTCATCCACCGGTAACGGCGTAACGCTTATATATATAAGCTCGTCACTATCTAAGCAATAAGCATAAACCCTGTTCTAAGTTTTTGCCTCGAATGTCAACTTTTTCAAATACTTTCAAATCATTACTTATGAGATCAGTATAATAGTAATGCTATCGATTGATTATCTGATTGTTGATGTTGAAAATGTTGAGATGTTTCCCTGGCAGCTTGAAACTATTTTAAGAGTTATTTATTATTTTATTTATGCAGCTTCTCTTAGTATTAACTTTTTGTAACTTGGCCTGGTAAAAAATACTTGATTCTGCAAATGTTTAACGTGCATAAAACTAGTCCGAAAGTGATTTATTGTGACATGTGTCATGCAGTTTTTGTCGATGTCATGGCAGCCGCATGTTTAAACAACATGCACTCTCAAACTTGCACTATTCATTGTTATGGTGCCAATGATGCGGACATTGATGATTGACTACATTCTATTCAACTATTACAAAAGAATGTTCACGTTAGCTGTGTAAATATAAAGAGTACAATTTTCTACGAAAATATACAGAAAAGTAAAAGTTTAACTGTATCGTAATAGCGTAAGTGTGAGCTGTCTTCGATCAATGAATAAGCAGGATTATATCTACAGTTTAGAAAAAAAGCCATTTGTTTAGTTAAATTATAACATACTCTTCGAGTAATCAAAATAAAAATGAAATTTTCTTACCTCGACTTACGTGTCACATGGGGGGCCCTCTCGTGTAGGAGTAACTTGAGCAAATTGTATCTATTCGGTAACCATTCGTATTACACAAGGTTGGAGCAGTGCCCCGTATCTATTCGGTTATCATTCTAATTACACCACGTTGGAGCAGTGCTAAAACTAACAAAAGGGGAAAAAAGGGAACAAAGAAATTGAGGGGAAGGGAGAAATCGTATTATCCACATGAGATATTTGTTGTTGAAAATGCCCAATTAAATTTACTGCACAATTATTTACCGAAATGAAACAATTTCACAGTTAGTAAACCATTAACTTTTTTGTTGTAAACTTGTGTTTGCCAGTTAAATGAAACCAATACTTACTCTTTAGTAGGTAATCGCCCCGCCCTATTCGATGATAATCACAGAAATTAAGGTTAATTGGCGGAACATTAGGCGTTAATTAGGTTGTGATCAAAACAGTCTAATACTAAAGTAGCCTACCTTTATAGATGGTCTTATAAAGTCGATCACGTGTCTTTCCTTCCAAGTTATTTCCAGCCAATTGTGCTATTTGAAGGGAATCAGCAAGTATTGTTACCAAACTACGGGTATATTACGTGACATCTTATTGTTGTCGTTTTGTGGTTATTTATTTTCTCTTTTTTGTCAACTAGGTACTTGTTTTTAATTCTTACTTGTTGTATTTCTTATCATTTAGTGATCCCAGAAATTGGTCAAATGTATGTGTATATAAATAATAAATGTTGTAATTTGCATTAAAAACTAATATATATTTGTTACTATAATCATACATTAATTTCTCTGTATATTTGATAGACCACGATCGTACATAAATCATATAAATGTATAGCTTAGCATGATATTTGCAGTAGTTGTAATATTAAATAGTAAGGCTCGTTAAACTATTCTAGGATAGTATGGTACACGATATATACTAGGGTAGTATTCAACCCTAGCCTTCTCATGGCAATACGGAGACTAACACTGCCCACTAGTAGTAGATTTTACCACCTTGCTGCACGACCCTGTACCAGACGACATCCTACTCTCATACCTGGACAAACTAGACCCTACCACCTGACTGAAAACTCTCTGGAATTTGAACATACCATGGCGCAACGTGAGGCATTTATCAGTAAATATGGGGACGTTATTCAACCTTTATTACAGGTAATTTGAAATTTAACAGAAGGTTCTAGTAATAATAGCAGTTTTACAAGCACTCCTTTTACTAACTGTGTGTGCCAGAATTTAAATTTGTCCCAATTTCTTCTAGGGCCCTAAAATTACTCCTGTGATGACAAGTTTACATATTTAAAATCCGTCAGATAATTCCAGCTTTGACAAAATGACCCGTGTTACGTTTGGTAACACAATATCATCCCTGTCTTATCCCAGAAAAGTGATCCAGGTTTAGCACCGGTGACTGCGCGACTACAAGAGATACTACAGTACAACACAGTGGGCGGTAAACTGAACCGAGGGTGTGCAGTAGTGCACACTGCACAGTTACTGGGATATTCTAACACATTCCACGCTACTGTACTCGGCTGGTGTGTGGAGATTCTTCAGGTTCGAGCGCATTTCTACCTATCTTTACTCTTTAGCTTATTTATTAGATAATTTTGTTGGTTATCAATGCTGTCTGTGGATATACTGGATATCTTGCTAGTGATACAATTCTTTTCCAGTAAAAATATATTGTTTTGTTGTTTAGGGGTTTCTGTTGGTAGCTGATGATATAATGGATAACTCTGAGATGAGGCGGGGGAAAGAGTGCTGGTATAAGCGTGTTGGTATGACAGCTATTAACGACTCTTTCCTGCTGGAATCCTGTGTCTTTGAGTTACTTAAAACTCATCTCGGCTCAGAAAAATGCTACGTCAAATGTTTGGAATTGTTTCTTGATGTGACGAGAAAAACAGAATTTGGACAAGCACTAGACTTGGAGGTAGAGTCGTTGGATTACAGCGAGTATTCCATGGAGAGATACGATTCCATCGTCATCTACAAAACTGCGTACTATTCATTCTACCTGCCGGTCGCTCTGGCGATGCACCTCACTGGAAGAGATTCGGATTTAGAGCTGGAGAGTGCGAGAAAAATTCTGATAAAGATTGGACACTACTTTCAGGTAATATAGAAATTTCAGTATTTTAAATTTTCCCTTCGGTAAATTCTGCCTTATTTGAATTTAATACACTGTCGTTGCAGTAAGATAGCTGAAAATATTTGCACATATGACAGACTGTCGAGTGTCTATCTTTCCAGAATTTGCAACTTTAGAACCTTATCACAATATTACTCCTTATCAGGTACAAGACGACTATTTAGATTGTTACGGTGATCCCAGTGTTATCGGTAAAGTTGGAACTGACATACAAGAAAGGAAATGCTCGTGGCTATTTCTGAATGCTGTAGAATTAGGTAAGTTTTTTTGGTTGGTAAATGTGAACACATTGTTTGGCTTGTTGTTTGGCTCATTAAAATTCCCAGACAGCTTGATTTTCGGCCTGTCTAAATGGAACAATTTAGTCGAGAATCCCTTTTTTGACAGTTACCTACAGTATTTTTTGTAGCGCGCCAAATTCTTTCTTTTAGCACTTATGCGCTCTGTGGTCAATTAACTCGAGCGCGCAATTCAATTATGAAGTGCGAGCGCCGAATTCAACTTCGATGATCGAGTTAAAAACTTTTTAGGGCACACTTTGCATGAGCCCTATCATAAGTGATGATTCAGGTTGCAGGTAGTATGCATGGTTAATAGCTACCCGCGAAAACATTCATTCTAACTGTACGAAGCACAATATCTGTCAGGAGCTGCTCAATAAATATATTTCAAATGCAATTATCTCCGGTATGACCATGACATGTTTTATCTTTCAGCGACAGAAGAAGACAAAGAAGAGTTGTTCCGGAGCTATGGCAAAGAAGATGAAGAGAGTGTCAGCATAGTTAAACTTCTTTACCTCAAATATGGACTGAGGAGAAAGTACCTAGAGTACAGTGCTACAACTTATGCTTCTATTTGCTCCGATATAGACAATAATAAGTCTGGACTGCCTGTGCAAATCTTTCAAGATTTTCTTGATAAAATACACAAGCGCAGCAAATGATTACGTCTATTGCTCTTTCTTGCTTAAAATTATCTTGCCCTAAATTTATAAGTGTCTTAGTTTTTAAGGGTTTAATTAATTTTTGGGAATTTGCTTTCTATTTTGTTTGTTTTCAATTCCGTTTGATATATATTTTAGCTACGATTATATGTTTTACCTACAGCTTTCATTGAAACTGAATTAACTGTCTGAATTAACTTCTGATTTGATATTGATTTCTTGAAATTTCCTTAGAGAATGTTATTTTCATTTTAATCATTCGCATATGTTTGCATAGTGCTTCATCAATCATCACCTATGATTTCAACGCATAAGATTTCAATGCATTTTACTAAATCGGGATTGTTCACGTTAATGACAGCATTAGCTCAGTGATAGGGTTGGTTGATAAAAAATAGTGGGGAGGTTGTCCCACGTCACGAGACTTAAAAGAAGTAGTCACGTGGGCAATCGGAACATTAGAACATTTGAATTAAATTTGAAACATTACAGAATGCAGAAATGTTGTACAAATCGCTCGAACACACACACTCGGATGTCAGCTGTATTATTTTCTGACGCGTACCGTGACGTAGATTAACCAGCCCTGAGCTCGTATCAAAGTTGAGACACAGTTAATAAACTGCGGAGTGACTAAAATGCTATACAGCAAAAACAGAACTCTCCAACCAAACACTCCACCTACTGCTCTACTGATCCTAACCACCCTAACAACTCTCTAGCTCTCTCTTCACCCTCATTCCCTCACTCCTCTTGGTGCACAAAACCATTCTAACCTATGTATGTCCCCCCTACGGGTTCCACAAGCCCAACGGTACATAGTTAGACGAAAAACAGAGAAGCCTTGATTGCCAGATCAAGGACTGCATCAGTAGCAGCGAAATACGGATATACCTTCTCCCTTACAGTCAGTGAGCTGACAACTATCTGACTGTGTCTTTTAGGCCTTGCCACACCACCTTCGCTATTGCATCCGCTCGCCCGTATTCACTGACACATGCCACACCTGGATTTAGTATGAAGATGTACGCATATTCACCCAAGATGCGGAGATGCCTCAGTTTAGCGAGTTGAGATACAACAGCAAAACTCACAGGAGCATGGATCAGAATCATCAGTTACCAACCTGACACCGTTTCGGGGCTTTAATCGCAATACGGTTTCCTGTCAGGCGCCCCAGCAGTCCACCCTTGAACCACCATCTGATCCGAGAGTCACTTGAGGAGACCCGTTAGAGCTCGCAATTGGCGACGAGATAACGTTTATGGTACCTCTAGATGTTATAGTGAACTCTCAAGCTCCAACCTTCCTGAACTCCCACTCCCTCTTTCTCGATAACAAGTAAATCCATCTGGAACAGTGGGCTGCCTCTTTCCCGCTGTCCCGTACCAGCTTCTTCAGCTCTCTTCCCCTAAAACCAATCCTCCTCGCAGCTCTCTCCAAACTCTGCGCAACCACTCCCCTAGCTCCAACTTCGACTGCGGCATTATAACAGCACCAACCTTTCGCCTGAATCACAGCCTGCAGACCGCTGTATCGGTCGAGCTTGTACTCGTGCGATTCAGCGATCCGCTCTTCAGATGGTTAAACTAAAACCCAATCGGGTAAACAAACCACCTTGTTATATCAGAATTATAAATTGTTACAGTCCTACTAATCCTAAATCAGTCCAGAACCCTCAACTAGCTGATCAATTTTATGGTGAGCTTCTTGAGGCTATCAGTGTTCCTGCTCGATTTGAAGTATGGATGTTAGGTGACTTCAATGCCAAGTTAGGCAAGCGTTCACTTGTTGATGAAGAAAATGGTTTACAGCAGCACATAGGTAGGCATGGTGTTGGTAGAAGGAACGAGAATGGAGAGAGATTGTTACATTTTCTGGCAGCAAATGGCTTATTTGCTACCAATACTTCATTCTCCCACAGCAGCAGGCATATAACTACACGCACTGGATGGATAAGAGACCAATCCACCCGAAAGAGTAAACCATACTTCTCACAGATAGACTATATACTTTGCAAGTCCAGGAGCAAAGCACTACTGACTGATGCAAGGTCATATGCGGGAACTAAGCACCGCAGTGACCACAAGCTTGTAGTTGCAAAAGCAGATTTTTCCCTGCGTTATAGTTTCTACAGGAAGAAGAGGACTACTCAGAAGGCATTCAACACAACCACTCTTGTAGGTAGCATTGCAGCGCAACAACAGTTTAAATCTGCACTTACTGTTAATATCAACCAACTTGTATCTGAACCTGACTATTCTTCTAATGATACTTGTCAACAGTTCGGAAAACTATTTAAAAGTGTTGAGACTGCTGCCATCTCCACTGTGGGTCTACGCGAGCCACAGCGAAAGAGACACCACTCTTCTGATAGTGAAGTTGTTGAAATGTCAGAGGAAAGAAAACGATTGCTACAACTTCTGAATAATAATGAATACAGAGACAGAAAGGACTTGAGATCAAAAATTAACAAACTCTCAAATGACATTAAGAAGCGACTGAATACTCTCAGAATAGAAGTTGCAAACAGTCTTGCAGACTCTATCAATAATACAGACGACGGCCGTAAAATGTTTGAAGCTGTCCGGCAACTATCAGGTAACAAGAAATCAGACTCCATCTCTGTTTTTAATGACAAGAATCAACTGGTAGATAATGAGAGTGACAAAGCTGACATTATACGCAACTATTTTGAGCAACACTACACAGGACCAGACAGTGAACCTCCACTTGAGCCGTTTGTTGGCAGTCCTCAGCCACTAAACAATCCCATAACATCCTTTGAAGTGGAACAAGCTGCCAAAAAGCTAAGAAATGGTAAGGCTGTTGGTCCTGATGGTATACCAAACGAATTCCTTAAACACTCCCCACCTATTTTCTATTCTACATTTGCACAGCTGACCAATCAATCTTTTGAACGTCATGAACATGTACCTTCATTCACTGAAGGATTCCTTACCCCACTGCAAAAACCTGGTAAGCCACGTGGACCTTTAAAAAGTTTGCGCCCTCTTTGTCTTTTAAACGGCACCAGGAAGATATTGTCCATGATAGTCCTTAGACGCATTCAAAGACAAGTTTCTCAGTACACTGGACCTTGGCAAAATGCCTACAAGCCTGGCCATAGCTGTGCAAATATTGTTTGGACACAACGGATCCTAGTTTCAGTTGTAAAGGAGAAACGCTGGTCTCTACACAAAATGGGTATTGATATGTCATCTGCATTCGACACCATTAAGAGATCAGTTTTGCTAGAACTTCTTGCTGATGCTGGTTGTAGTGAAGACGACATCCGACTGGTAAGGTACCTACTCTCATGTACCAAACTGAAGATTAAAGTGAGGTCTACCGTATCAGGGGAGTTCATTGTCACGATAGGTGCGTTCCAAGGTGATAGTTTGTCTGGAAACCTTTTCACCCTGTATTTGGCTGGCGCACTTTACCACCTTCGTGCCTTTATGTCTTATCTAAGACCCAACCCTCCGTTTGCTGAAAACCTGCTACCTCTTGAGTGGGAGTACGCAGACGACGCAGACTTCACAGACGAGGATAAAAAGAATTTGGAGTCCATGTTACCAATATGCAAGGAGATATTGGAGGAGTGGAATCTTTTTGTCAACGAATCAAAAACAGAGTTCACACATATCTATCTGGCCGAGAAGAACGAAGTTGATGACAAAGGAGAGCCACTTCGAGGAAGAGAGCCCTGGAGATCATCTATCTCACTTGGTTCCAAATTGTGCAGCAACGAGGACATAAAAAGACGATGTATTCTGGCAAATCTTGCTTTCCAAACCTACAAGAAAGTTTGGGAACAAGGTAAACGCATACCTCTTAAGACCAGACTTAAGATCTACGAAGCCCAGGTGGTCTCCGTCTTAATGTATAATTGTAGCTGCTGGGCAGCTTCAAAGCAGCTACTGAGTAAACTGGATATTTGCCACAGAAAGCATCTGAGGCAAATCATCAGAATGACTTACCCTAATATAATCAAAAACGACACCCTTTACAAGAGATGTGAAGTGGTTCCACTCAGCGAGCGTGTTGCATGTGCACGATGGAGGATGCTCGGACATGTCCTTCGCAGTGATAACAACTCACCTGCACAGCTTGCATTACACTTTGCAGTAGAGAGTCAGAGTACTAAAAAGGGTAGAGTAGGTAGACACCAGTCGAACTTGCTTAAGACTATTAAATTTGATTTAGGTAGCAGGAACATTCCATTATTGTAAATACAGACGATTTGTACAATTTAAGACTTTTAGCCTCTGATAGAGCGGGATGGAAGAAGTTGTTATAGCTTGTGTATCAGTTTTTATTTTTTTTCTGGCTACTTATCAGATCTTTAAGATGTTCATTTATGTTCTATTTTTGATTTGAATAAAGTTATATAATAATAATAAGATGGTACTGTTAGCTCCCACCAAATAACTGTCTTTGCCGACCTTGAGAATATCACAAGGTCCGGCCTCAGCCGTGTTTCCACAATCTCACTGGGAAACTTAAGCTGCCCCTCAAGGTCTGACAGCACTATCCAATCCCGATACCCACTCAGGATCCCAAAACCACGACTCTCCTTCCGGTCGTCTGTACCTGCTTTTCTTTTCCCAGCAGGAACAAAATCAATGAACTGCCTTCCATCGCCGGCCTTGTTCTTATAAGTGTTCACTCGGCGATCACAATGGAAGACAACCTGTTCAGAGATCTGCTTCAGAACCTTGTCGTGCCGCCATCTATATCTTCCTTGACTAAGGGCCACCTTACACCCAGCCAAAATGTGCTGAATGGTGCCCATCCTCTCCTCACATAACTTGTACTTCCCATCCTCATCTTCACTCCACTTGGAAACCATAGAGGGGGTTAAGAGGGTGCCGTACACAGCACTTAGCATGAACCCAATAAGTGAGTCACCATACTTAAAAAGTGTATGCCAGCTCAAATCTGTCTTCATTACGAGCTCTTTCCACTCACCCCACCTGCTCTGCATCTCCAGAGAACCTACTTGCACCTCCCTCTCTCTTTCAATGTTCTCCTTCACTCTCAGCATAACCTCCCTCTCTCTTTCCCGCTCATCCATCCTCTCCCAAGGTTTTTTCCAGTCACCAAAACCGATGCCAACTCTTTTTTGAGGTTGCACCATCCCTCGCACCGATTCACAGACCAAATCTCTTCTGGCCTCTTCCAGTTCTGTCTCAGGCCTCCAAACTCTACCAGAACGAACTTGGGGCTGGACTGCTTTAATCAGGTCATCCTTAGATGTCTGATAGGATTGCAACAGTCGACACTTCTCTATCTTCCATGTATCTGTCAAAATGCTCACCGGTAAGGCCACACTGGATGATTGACTAAACAGACAAAGACCACTCAGAGTGTGCCCCACCCCTAACCACTTCCTGAGGAAACTATTGGTATTCTGTTCCCATCTGGTAACTGTTGTGATCGGAATATCATAGATGGCAAGAGGCCACTTCAGTTTTGGAAGGACCATGTACTGATATCCCCAGCACTTCTGGAGTCCAGTAAGGGAACTTTCATAGAGTCTCCGAAGAAAAGTGTTAAGGTCGACCTTGGTTGAGTCGATGACTGATTTGTCATTTCCTTCCACTCTTATCCATCTCCCAAGGAATTTTATCGGCTTCTCTGACACATTCGGAATCACCTCACCACCCAACTGCAAACACAACTCTTCTCTCTCCACCTCCTCCTCTCCTACCACTACCTCCTCAACCCACCTCACAGCCACTCCCTTCTTCAACACCAGTGCTCTGGACTTGGAGGACTTTAACTTAAATCTGGACCAGTCCACGTACTTCTGAAACACATTGAGTAACGTTTGCATATCCTCTGCACGTGCGGTCGTCAGACAGCTATCGTCCATAAACAGCTTCAGAGTTGGTATCGGTGTGTCATCCTTGATGTACTCAATGCTTTTCGGAACCTTAGACTTTAGGTGTTCATGCCCAAGGTTCATGCACAAGACAAACAAGATGACTGATATCACACACCTGCACCCCATGAAGATTCCTATCTCAAACTGCTGCCAGTCTGATGTCACCGTTCTTGAGGAGAACCTTCCGAATACCCCGGAGAAGTACCGTAGGATAATATTGATAACCTTCTCGGGGACGTTGTAAGCGTTAGCCAGGTCAAGCCATACCACACTCAGATCCTTCTTCTTGACCTTTGCCTCCTTCAGTACCTCCCACATGGCACCAAAATGCTCCGTGCACCCACGGACGCCTGGCACACCACCCTTCTGTATAGAGAGGTCTACGCGTACCGTGACGTAGATTAACCAGCCCTGAGCTCGTATCAATGTCAAGTGTCAAAACAATATGGCTAAAGTCTCCACTGGGGTGCTAAAGGTCGAATTAGTTGATATTCACACTCCTTTTAAGGCTGATTACATCGGACCACTAATATAATACGTTAGCAGAAAATTCGCAAAAGAAGTAGCTTACAAGTACAACTACGTTTGAAACTTGGCAATCTGTTGACGGGCTCGTGACACTAACACACGCGACGGTCGCCAAAGTATGGTCTACTAGACGAAGTTGCCAGACTTACTGCCAATTTAATATCACGTGACATACTGGCATACACTTAAACTCGAGCGCACGTCAAAAACGACCAAAACATATGGCATCAGACCCACTGTATCATGTGCGTTACGTGCAATGTCCGCCGTTAAATTACCTAAATGCCAGTACGTACGTTCGTCTGACGCTTGACGTTGCGACCTCAACTATTTTCGGAGGCTCAAGAGGGGACACTGGACACGTGTGTCTGGTGTCAGGCCAGGCAAGTACATTTTATGTGAATTATCTCATACTGTTCTAAAAACTCGTTCAAAGGTTTGATCCTTTTAACGACAGGCATGAAGTAAAATATCGGTTTGGTTAATAAACTTTGAGAATATCAATAGATTTTCATCAGCCTTGGCATTAGACTCAAAATTAGACTCAAAATATATTTATCTAGAGTTAAACGACTCAAAAGCGGTCAAGCCTAATAATTTAATAAAAAGAGTTTCCATCCATAGCCACGTAAAATCAAATAAAATAAAGCTTAATGCTTAAGCACGAACATTTTAAAAATCAACATAACATCTTTTGAAAGTTTCAAAATAATTCAATTCGATGTGACTGAAGGAGCAATTTTTGCGATTACGCTCTAAAATGACTCAATCGTAAATGAAAATAAAATGACGATGAAAATGTTTGGTACATGGCTTAACCAGCATAAAAACAGCCTCAAAGCGCAATTTCCCTATATCAATAAATCATCCATGCGTATGATATGTACAATATTGAAAAATATAATTTTAATCGAGAGTAAAAATGATAAATCTACGGTTGTCATAAAAACGTGATTTGCGAAACATTTAATTTCAAGGAGACATTTTGTAGCAAAAATTTTAAAAACAAATTTTCAAAATTCACTTAATTATGCACAAGTCATAAAAATTCAAGATTGGGGTTCAACGTAGTTGCTTGGCATCATGCCAGTATGTCCCGTTCGAGAATTTGTTCCGACCATCCAACCTTCCGCAACAATTTCCGCATTGATAATAATATCTCCCTCCTTGATCGTGACCTCGTCCTCATCGGCAGCGTCGTACTCATACACGGCAACAAACTGAAAAAACGTTATAATTAAGCTATGTTTATCTTGGACATGCGATAAGACATTTAAGAAGGTTATCTAGGGCCTTTGAAAGAATCACTTGCATGAAAATGGAAAGGATATACAAATTATAGTTGGTAAATGCGGCAGGAGAAACTTAAGGTTTAGTTCCGTGTTAAGCACGGTGCTTTTCATTGAAGGAGACATCATATTATCGCTCAGTTAGGGGTTTTATTTTTTGTTTTTTTCGAAGATAAAAAAGTAAGATCGTCTATTGCTAAAATCTGTCTCATCGATGATGATATTAAGAGTGGAAAGGAACAAAGTTAGTCAAACATCAGAATCCCTGTGAGACTATGACAGCTCTGTCGTGGCGGTCACTGTCAGGCGTCAACTGCTCTGCATCCCAGTCAATAAATCCTTCAGTTTCTGATCGATTTTGCGAGTCCAAGTTCACCGGCCACCACTCCAAAGCGCTAAGAAGCTGTTACCAAGCATATAGCCAGGGGGATTCTGATTGTTGACCCTTCGTGACAAAGCAAAGGTCCAACTAAATGGGTTTTTCGACAAGTAAGGAATTCGTTCAATCTCACACGGTTAAATACATTTTTAAATGAGGGAAACATGTTGTAAACAGACGTTAACTGCTTATATTAAGGGGCACTCGAAAATAGGTAGACGAAGAAAGGTTGTGTGATTACTATCCTAAATAATTGTAGGTAGAAAACTCTGAACTGAATAGAAGACTCTGAAGACCTGAAGACCTCGACAGTGAATTGAGTGACTTGTGTGCTATTATAAGATGTGGGGAAATAATCACTGGTAATTATAATTGAAGTGCTTCATAAGACAGAGGCACTTGAAGTGATGCTGGGCCTGAGGGCCGCACTTACCAACTACGGAATCAGGCGCTCTGAAATAGTTAGCTGAGGCCACTTGTTATCTTCAACTCAACAACTATTTTAATGTACATTTAATTTACATTTAATTTTACATTTTCTATAGGAATCCTAAATCGTAGCAGAAAAACAAAGCTGCGTCAGCGCTTTCTTTTTTATTCTAAAAGCATATTTTTACTAAACGCTATAAAACCAGTGACTCTGATATTTTGACAAGTTATGCAGCACAATATACCGCTCTGCTCAACACCGCAGCCTACATTACTACTGTAGTAATACTACATCACCTTAACAACCATACTTTGAGACAATGATTACATGTTAATTTCTGCCAACAGACAGTTCAAACAGCCAACATTACAAAACTTATGAACACTAATTAAACAATTAATTACTGAATTAGTTGGTCACGTGGCTGTCACGTGGTAAGATTTGCACAGCTCACTTACTTATTCGGTTGCCTCTTCGTTTTCTTCCTATTTTAGATAAATTTCATTTAGTGCTGCCGAAAAGCCTACAAGCTTAACTTCAAAATTCTAAAAAAGGGGGAAATCGAACTTTCATGCGGTGCCAGAAAAGTGAGCCGAACCTGAGGGGCTGTTTCGACGGGAGCAGGGGGTTCAGCAGCCACTTCCTCTTCAGGAGCAGGGGGTGCTTCTTCAGCAGCAGGGGGCGCGGCTTCTTCTTCAGGGGCTGGGGGCTCTACTACTGCCTCTTCGTCACTGTCGACCTGACAAAATAGTATTGATATATTAATAAAGGCTAACAATACAAGTAGCTAAGCTGGTTGTTATAAATTATAGATCTGTGTGGATATAAGAACTCGAAACGACAGCGCAGAGCTTTGGTTAATTGGTTGCACAGGCAGTTTTTAACGTACAAGGGTTTTAGTCAGCAACCTGATATCACAGTGCTGGCAAGCACGACCGCCACCATTATACTCACTATACTATTTACCCCCTATACTATTATACCCCCTTTACTGTTTTTCAGGCATAAAGACTCACCGAAAGTAGTTCAGCAGGCATATTTTAAGTTCAGAATAATTTTATTAAAACACTCATTTTATGATTTAGTATTCTCTGGTGTTGGGCCATCCCTTGGGTTGTGGAGCTTAGTTCTGCTTCCTATAGGTCTATATTGTGCATTAGGCGAATTTAAAAGTTGAAAATCGAAAAGTTGCACACGTGGGGACACGCCTAAATTGATTGAAAATTGCTAAAATCACTGAAAATTGCTATTTTCACGATTTTTACCAACTTTTGAGTCCCGTTGAAATGTAAGTTCTCATTGAAATCTTTTGAAACTTTGTTCGTTTATCAAACTATATATAAAATACCAACATGCAAAAATTTACGGTGATTCAATATTAAATGCGCACGCAACGTCCGCTCAAAGTTTGCACGTGCGAAAGGTGAGAATTTTGCCCATTCGTGATGTCGATTGGATTCTGCTTTCCCACGACAGTTAAATGGCATTATATATGAATTTAATGCCAACTTGAATGAGTATAAAGTGGCATATTCAGTCAGTGATCGACAGATATGCTTATCTAAATACAAGGAAATGTTTTCAAAGGTAAAATTTCGAAATCGTTGAAATTGCGTCCTTATCAATGAAGTTATCACTTTATATTTCGACTTTGTAAAGTACCCTGACATTAACGAGGTCTGATCGTCATCTTCTTACAGCGTTTGATGTCTGTGTGAAGGTAAAATGGTGACATCATCTGGATCAGGCAGGGGTCGAGTGTTATCGGGATTACTTCTGTAGTAGTTATACAGCAATAGTCAATACTAAGGTATTTCCGCAGTAGTCCCATTACCCTGACATTAATCAAAAAGAGATGATATTTGACCAAAACCCATAATTGGGTAGAGTGGACCGCTGCCAGTGTCTCTCTTTTCCAAAACAAAAGTAAATGGTATTAGTTTGAATGACCGTCTGCAAATGCAAAATGATACCGAGAATGAAATCGGTCGCTCGCTTTTCCCATTCATTTACAATTACAATTGTAACAGATTAAGAAGAACTACCTGAAGCTGAAGGCACCTGTACTTGGCAATAACGATTCAATAAACATCAGCTAATTGGACACTAACTATACCGCCCTTATATTATCCCGAAATACTAGGTATCGACCCGAAAGCAACCAAAATAGATTTTTACAGCATGTGATTGATGCAATTAATCGAAACTTATTTATACAATTCGTAAGCCGTGAATGAATGGGAAAAGCGAGCGACCGATTTCATTCTCGGTATCATTTTGCATTTGCAGACGGTCATTCAAATTAATATCATTTACTTTTGTTTGGGAAAGAGAGACACTGGCAGCGGTCTTCTCTACCCAATTATGGGTTTTGGTCAAATTACAGTATAGTGATAAAAATAACTTATTCAAAAAATACTTAGGGACATTTACTGTAGTGCTATAGAAAATGGGAGACAACTGAGTTGGATAAGTTATGAAGGAATATTGGATGATATCAATATAAGTGCAGCTGGTTTTGGATGGAAACAAAGTGACCGTAGTCACAAATAATTCGACGTGCATTGTACAGTACACTTTTTGATAAAATTGTAAATCCACATTCACAAGTTATTATCTATAATTACGATCTGCCTTGTTCAAACTGCTTCTATTTTTCTTTATCCTGGAGAGTTTGGAAACGCTTTATATCAGTGGCTAGGCTGGCGGCTGCAGGTAAATTACAGCCGCTTCTTCATGGCAAATATTTTGCCGATAGTTTATGGCAACTATATACAACTGTAGCCGCTGATAACTGATATAGCCGCTTGTTTTTAGCAACTAGATTGCGGCTAGTTTATAGCAAATATTTTGCCGCCACTTTATAGCAACTATTTTTTCGCTTGTTTGCAGCCATAATTTTACCGGAGCCTGCATTCCTGCTGGATCCTGGAAAGCTGCCGCGAGTCCTTTTACCTAAGTTAAATAAATTACGCCCCAAATTCAAATACTTGGTAAATGGTGATCAATCGAAACATAAAATTATGACAATAGGTTAATTATACTATGAAGTATGATCCAATGTTTTGAAGTACCTTGTTAGGTTTGGCCTCCTCAGCAGGTGGGGCCTCAGGCAACACTGGTTCAGGTTCAGGTTCAGGCACAGGCTCTGGAGGAGCTAGAACCTCGGCAGGGGCCTCCAACTCATTGGAGACAAGCACATCAGGGCTGGCGGAGCGGGGGGCCTCCTCTGGTTCGGAGGACACGGACTTCGGCTTATCATCTGAAATGGGCGTGCTTGATATATTTTATTTGATATACGGTGATTTCGATGCTGTTGCTTTTGAAGACTATGAAAACATTACGCGCAATCTTTTTGAATTGGGATTGTCAATCCAAGGGAGTTGCAGCAACATAGGAACAGGTACAAGAAACTATGTAGCTAAAACGATGAAGTACCAATTTTAGCGCTAGACCATTTGTTTGGGCGTTATTGATACAATTACAAGGTGATATTTCAGCAGAAAATGGAAGAAGGCCATTATATATGTGTAAATATAGCCTCAAGTTCTGAAATTATGCTGATGATGATGAGAATGACCCGCTTAAAGATGCCAAGGATGGTGATCGGTGAGTGAGAAATACAGCGGGACACAAGCGAGCGCACACAAGCGCACACAAGCGAGCGCACACTTACCGTCATCTACTTCTGTATACTCTCCGTTATGAGTTATAACGTATCCTAGCAGGGTTTACATAATTTAAAACATTTAATTTACAATGATAAATAATCCCCACTTCTCTATTGTGACATTAGCAAATTTTTGTAACCAGTTGGTAATTAATTGTTAAGCGGACTTAGTGGATTATGAATACTAGTCATTTTATTAATACTAGTACTTTTGTTAAAGAAATTGTGTAATTCGTAATCATTGAACGATTTTTTGCCCATTATCAAGACCATTTCTGCTCTTACTTTTGCGCAGCTCTTCTGCCGCATCCTTTTATTAATTAACAATCAGTCCTACCCTTCTATTTGAAATCCTTAAAACAACAGTGATTTCTCTCCGGGGAGACAGAGGGGCGAGAAAGAACTTTGTGGATATAGAGAGTCTCGATTTGAACTTGGAGCCACAAGGCCAACAAGGATAAATTTCAAATGTTTCTGCCAATATTTCAGTTGGGAAATATATTGAATTTTTGAAGGTTTCATTTTATATAATAGGGTAATTGTGATATTATGTGTATATTGTTTGAATACTTTTTATATACTATATTAGAATCTGTCCTACCCTACCAGTTTTCTTAAATACAGAAATACTATCATTAATTGCTAGCAGTGTACGCTTGATCATCTTTCTAATATCGGATAAACTGAGATCGGATAAACTGAGTTCTAATGTACCGTCACAATAGTGACTTTAATATAATATAGTTTTAATACTTTCAACACTATTATATAACAAATAATTTGAGGAAACGATGTTACTGAGTCGATATATCTTAATGTTGTCATGGGGATTGGGTTGGCAAGTCCCCATACATCGTGGTCCGGTAGTTTCATTGCGTCTTAATATAATGGGATCGAAGTATTACGTAGGCAAATATTCGAAATCGATTATTTCAAATAAGTTACGTCGTTTCGCAACCGCCATGCGGTTGGTGCGCGCGCGTTACGTTCGATCACACGAACGAATGGCTCGCGAACAGTCCGTTGAAAATATTTTGTTGCACATTCCATCTCGTTAAACAAGTAGACCTGTTTTCATATTCATGAGAATTACACATCGCTGCGTCCTGAAGTACGTGAATAATTCATCGAGTTGCAAACGTATGATACACGGAGCTATATATCCAAAGTAAAGGCTATGTGTGGCCTAATTGCAGCTAACAATTGATGACATGGATCAGGATGTTGTAAGATTTCGCTGGTTGTCGATGTAGCTCCATAATGTGACAACAACTCTATTTGACTGTGAGATCTGGAACACAGGTTCAACCTTCCAAAAACTTCCTTATAAGGGCATGCTATGAGCACGATATTTAGGCTGAACATCTGACGGTGAACGCTCTTCACTCTTGTTCGACAAATTAGCCAGCCCACCACGCGTTACCCTGCCCGATTTCCCGTAACGACCCATCACAGAGACGTTACGCAAAGTCCAATACGAGATGATAGGTAGCGAAACTTCACTGTTACGCCACTGCTGCACAGGTCTGTTATTTTGCAGGGTGGAGTGTACAGCTCGCAGCACCCATAATGTGTGCTGACTGCTGCAATCTGCTAGTTATTACATTGCGCTTTTACCCAACAACTCTATCAAGTAAAAATACGAGAGATAACGTCACTTTCTATGGTTTTGATCTATTTCAAGATCTTACGTAAGACTCCACTACTATTTTACAAAGGTTCATGACGTGGCTGTAAATACTAACTACCTGTGTACTAGACTACCTGACTCCACAAAAACAAAATATTAATGGAAGCTTTTATATAGTAAAAGAGCCCCACATACTCCCTTAAAATAAACTAATAGGGATCTGATAAGATCAGACCACAGCGAATGTAAAGGAGCAATACCGTTATCATATCTACAAGTATTTACCAGGAGAAGAGAAAGCAGGTCTATTGAGGGGAGTACTAGCAGGGTTAGTGCGGTCCTTGCCGTGGTACTTGAGCGAGGAGAGTTGGTTCTGGGACTTCTTGGCGCGCAGACTCTCTGGATCATCAGCCACGCTCATCTTCGTTCCTTTCACACTTTGATTGTAATCTTTGTGGTAATTAATCTGAAATTGTGCGCGTTAAGTTAAATTACTTTATGATCTTATTTAAGTTATTTGTGGGGTTTAGTGTCCGTGGAATGGGATTAATTTGTATGATTTTACTTTCGTCAGGAATATGTATTTTACAGTATTCATTGTCACAACATACTTTTCTGTCAGAGTATTACTATCAATAAAGTAACAATAACGCTGTAATTTATTAATATGCAGGACAGGATAACTCGTAACCAGTAATAATTACTGCTAGTCCTCTATTAGACAGACTGGTAGTCTGATTGGTGTTCTAAGTGGGCGTATGATCCTAAATTATTTACACTGTAAGTCGACACGGACTGTAAATTAAGTCTTCCATCAACCTCGCCCACAGGAATCTACCCCCTTAATTTGAAGTCCTCTTTCAGAAGAAATATTTTAGAGCAAATAAGTAACAACCTTCCAAGGCTGGCCCTGGCCCTTGATGGTAGTAATAATGCAGACAATGAAATGGATATAAAATGTAACAGGCACATTTACAGTAATTAGTGATTTAGAAGCTCCAGTTTGACAGGTTGTTCTGGATACAGTGTTTTGAAGAAGGAACTCCAGATTGAGCAATTGTCTACTTGTTTGTAGGGATAAAGCAAAAGATAGCACTTCTACATTTAATTTTATCATTATTTTTATCATCAGTTCAAATGAACACAAGTTCAGAAATAATTAGGATAGAATCTACATTCTACAATAATACACAATCTTATTTAAACATAAAATGTTTAAAACTAAATTCCTATCGCTGTTTACACCAACCAAAGTATAATGGTTAAATGTTTACATAAACGAGTTTAAAGAGATGCTGTACTTGAAAAAGAGAAATAGTTCACGATTAAAACAGTACAATTAAATTCCTCAACCAACTCAACCGTTTCTCTGATCTTGTTTTTTAACAAACATACACGTGGGTAGTGTTGGCTTGCCCTCTAATCTTCTTTCCTCCCATGGTCCAATGCGCACTACAGGACTGCCCTTTACAGGATATAGCAGCACATTTACCTTCGTTAGCACCACACAATTTCATCATATTATCCAAACTTCCCTTGCCAATCTTCTTTGTCTTGAGTCTATACCCGGCCTCCCATCTCCAGCACTGTAAATCTACAGGCTCCACCATGAAGGAGGAGTCCTTCTTAAAGAGATCAGATCCGTTACTCCGGTGGATATAGAGGTTATATCCGGAGTGCCTGAGAGTGTGTCCTGAATAGTTCACAGATCTTAGAGTTATCCCCTGGCCTGCAGCACCCTGTTCCACTGTGAACGAGGCATCTTTTCGGTAGAGATCTGAGTTGCTCTGGGAATCCACCCATGCTTGGTAGTTCCTGTGTCTGATGAATCCTCCAGTGACAGACTCCAAACTGAAACCTGTTCCAGCCAGACCACTTCTTACAATCCACTCATTTCCTGTCCCTGAGTCTGAGATCGCAACTCTACCATTGGACAGCCGACTTATAAAGTGGTTGGGGTAGTTTACTGAGCGTAGCCGTATCTTCTGACCAATCTGTAGTTCTGAAGCCAGTACAGAGGAGACTAAAGCGAGGAGAGCTAAACAGATCTTCATCATCAGGCTTACCAAATGTTAGACGTTTCGTGGAAATGAGTCAGAAAAATAGAATGTCTGGACCCCGGAAAATGTCAATCACATGGACCAACGGCAGCATGAAGTTACGTGGAGCTTTTAACTAAATAACGTTGATAACTTCCTCATACTTCCTGTCTTGTACCATGATCATTAGCTCTCAGATGGTTTAAACTATAATTGCTAGGACTTGTCATTGTTCATTTCAAGGCTTTAAAGTGGTCTTTATTTGTGCTCCTCCACTGCCCTCGTAAAATATTAGGGACCATAATCGTGTATTGTATACTGGTTTGCACAGTAGTAATATTCACCATTACAAACATGCCCACCAACACAATGATGGCTAAGATTGAGTCTAACATTTCCAGTTTCAGTTTACTCCTAAATTATCGCGAAACTTACGGAACATTACTAGAAGTTGAAGGGCGTCATCATTCACAACCAAAAACTGACTGCTAATCCCAGATGAGACAAGCCAGGTAAGATCATGCTGGCCTTGCTGGGTTGTTCATTCAGCAAATCATGTTTTTTACATAAGATAACTGGGTATCATGCTTTGATACTTTGTTACAGTAATTACAAGATTCTTTTAAAAGAGTACATAGTCCTTCGTCACGAATTTAGCCACCTTCAGATTACGGTTAGGCGGTTTTGTAACCCTTTATCAGAGTAGTAATTATGTCTTAGCGATCTACATAATTATACTACATTGATGATTTACCTTATCTGTCTACTCAATAACCCACATTATGAGGGCTCTGCGAGGGCTGTATCCTCCATAAGATCACAGTCAAGGGTTTTAGCCTCCGTCAAAGAAGAAATAAGATCGACATTAGGTCATGCTCTGTCTAATAGCTGTCCGCAGTCTGCAGTGCGAGACAATAGGAGCACGTGATCTTACAATGCTTTGTGTAATCATGTTCTCATTCAATAATGTAACCATGTGCCGGTAAGTAGGTTACTGCTAATAACGTACAGGTAAGTTACCACTAATAACCAGTTGCTGTTGTTTTTTGTGAAAGTGATAGTTTCTCTGAGTATCTGGGCCGGGTTAAACTGTTACTGGGGGGGGGGGGGGGGGGGGGGGGGGGGGGGGGGGGGGTGGGGTTGGTGTCTAACTGTGAAAGTTTAGAGTGTTATTTCATTGTCTAGTCCACGTCTCCAACACGTGATATGCAAATGTCAGGTCACCCTTACTATCCCCCCTCTATTGTTACCAGCTCCGCAGTAGCACTGGATCAGTAGCTGGTTACAACAATAGGGCCGCGATCACAATGTTACACATCAGTGTGACCCCTGTACTGATATATATGTGGGGTCAACGCTAAACTAGGCATCCAGTGCACGGCCTATTTTACTAACCTTGTAGTTGTGATCATTAGTTACTACTGTTCTGCTTTGGTAAAGCCATCTCCATTTCTACCTTGACAGGTATTTTATATTTTCAGAGAGACAGGAATAACGACCCATATAAAGTAGATGTAAGAATATTTTAGGACTCATTTTATCAACATGCAGTGGACTTTGTGTCCCTGTAATCCGTATAAAAGTTATCAATTTCAGATCATATCAAGTTACTTAGGAACAAGGGAGTCGTTAGATTCAACGAGAATTACAGTCAAATATTTAACATACCTGCGGTTCCTGACATGTCCATATAAGGTATTGAATAGGATAGAAGATAGATTAACCTTTAAATATATTTGGCGTTTCAGGGTCTATGGAAGGGGAGAGGTTTTACATTGCTGTAATCATATTCTCACTCTAACCAGCAGTGCTGACGTATTCGCCGCATATTACGGATATTTTCAGAGAAATCTTAAGAAATTATTTACACCCCACGTCCATCCCTTCATCCTTTCTAGAAATTCCGACTATTCTAACTTTCTAACAATCTGTAATTTACAAATATGTATCTCCCCCATAAATCAGCTGGTCACGGTTTATTGGCTAGCGACTGACCAGCGCGCTGTCCTATTATTACAAATCTTTTAACACATTTACTTGAATATTTGTACACTTGTCATCAGTCAGTTCACGTCAATCTGAGGACCGTCATTCGCCGCTCAGCTATGTTATGACACCTTATCAGATGTTACGAATATTTATATACCAAACGGTCGAAGCCGTTATCTCAAACCGGAGAAGTAGCACCGTGAGACAGATATTACTCGGCAATAGCCCAACATCCCGTAGGATTGATCACGGAAGTTTGCGATAAAGCCGGATAAAGGGCTAAATACACAATCTGTTATAAACCCAACAACATACCACGTCATACTTTATGATATCATGTTATCTGTTATATGTTTGGTGTAAAGTAGTAGGGGATCGTGTAGGGATGTGGTAAGTTTGTAATACGAGCGGTATATTTGGGGTTACCCAGCGGTGTGATGAGTGATGTATTATAGAAACCCTAGATCACTGATTAAATTTATCTACTGCTATGTTACGCGCTACCAGGCTTCTCAGTTTCAAGTGAACTTTTCGGAAAAAATCAAGTACTTGCTACCACTACGAAGTATGTGTATTGTTATCTAAAGTGGTGCCTGATAATGTTTCAGTCGCAACAATTAGTGGACAAATTACATTTAGTTGTCCGACTCTGTTTTAAACTGATGATTTGATTTTATTGAGATGGTTATAAACCCAGCCACACCCAGTTGTAATAGTACAGATCACCGGTAAACTTATTAAAACTATAAGAAATATAATACTCTAGCTGGGGATATTATTAAGTTATTACACTTGGTTAAGTAAGTACTCAGCCTCACAACTCAAGCTCAACTTATAAATGTTTAGTAGTTGACTTTCTGTAAGTTTTAACAAGCAGAACACACTTGACCACCACCATTTTGACGCTGTGATACACCGGCAGGAATGCAAAGCTACAGAAACGTGTGTAGGGACTAGGGTGTAGAATTACAGTCATGTGAAAAGTCAGCTAACTGCAGCTGCCTTGACTTGGGTTGTTTCCAGAAGAATTGTAAATATAGTTAACAATGCAGCGTAATAACCATACCAGCATATGGCGCCCGGTAATGAGTTTTAAAAAGGGTGTTTAACATATTATAACAACTAAGGTTATGATAATTAAGTAAGTTTAAAGCTTAAATATTAAATTAACTAAATGTAAATAAAACCCACCAGACTAAGGTTGTCGGTTTGTTTCTTTAGTCGTCGATTCTCGGGTGTATCAGCTACTGCTGTAAAGTGTGTCACCGGGTAGTGGCTGAAATAGGAACGGTTCGTAGGACTCCATATTCCATTACAAATAATCAATTTAAAATCCAGTAATATTTCATTAAAAGTTGCTGTTTTATCGTAATAATAATATGTAATAACAAGGTAATAATATGTAATAAAATGTGTACCATTATAATATCTACTCACACATTGCAGTAAGGTAGTTTGTTGTAACCCTTGTAAGTCTTTAGGGAGAGTGTTAAACTACAAGTCTCACACTTAAAGCAACCCTTGTGCCAGTACTGAAAATATTTTAACATTCTTAATACCAGCTTAGCTGGAGTGTGTTTAAACTTCGAATTCCTGAATCAGCATGATAATAATATGTTTACTAAGTATAGTTGGTATATTTAGAGGTATTAGTGCCCTGAGAACATTTTAACTTGGTGAATGAAGCCCATGACCAGGGATTAGACTTCGTAAAACAGCTCATGATCAGGCCAAAATCTTACCGTAGCAATTCAAAATAAGTTTCAATAAATTTAACCACTAGCATGTCTTATGCAATTAACCCGACTAAAGAATGTAGTTCAAAGCTTTGACTCATTTAACCAGACAGCTACAAAGTTTAGGAATTAGGATACCAATCTTGGCCGCCAATGATGTGTCAAGTGGATGTTTGAAATACATAGAAACACCTGCGCTGATTTAGAACTTTGAGCAATGCACTTTAAAAAAATTGTATCAAAATATACAATATACATCCTACTTAATTAATTAAAAACATCCTACTTATAAATCAACTTATTATATCTACTTTTAGATTATCTTGACGAATGATTACGTTGTTAAAGCAGATAAAGAATCAAGATAAGCTGTAAATTACCTTGTCAAGACAGTTGAGTTTCTCGACGGGATACACCGTCTTACTACACCGAGCACAGGGAGGATTCATGACTAGAGTGCTGGAGTTGTCTTGTTATTTACAGTTGATAATCTATTATCAATAAACAGTTAGGATAGACCTGACAGAATTGTCAGAGTTGCCGCCTTAATATTGTGCTAGTTAACTGGTTGGTTGGGAGCTGTCACGTGTCCAAATACCAACACTTCAGCTTCCCAAATAAAGTCAAATCTCTATAACAAAACAATAAAATGAAAAAAAAAAATGAAATAATCCAATCGTCCAATATAAAAAGGTGGTCAGGAAGGATCTATTGCTCAATATATCGCATTATCGCAAGTGATCAATATTTTACATAGCACTGTTCTGATCTCAAGATAATAGATCTGGAAAGTTCTCTAAAGTTCAAAGAAGTTACAAAAGGTATGATATAAGTTGAGAAGTAACAGATTACATAATGTAGCTAGTAGTATTTAACCATTATCTTTGTAGGCTACTCTTACTGTTAAGTGTTAAACCTTGAAAAAAGGTTAGAAAGTGTTACCGATGAAAGTTTCGTTAGAGGAACAGTTTATTTGAAAGATTATGTCACAGCATTATGTGGCATATATACCAAAAATCACACCAACGCAAAACATCTCATTGAAATTTGAGACGTGTGAAAGCTGTAAATCTGTTATCAAAGACGATAAAGCTGCATTTGAATCAATGCGAATTATAACATCGCATCTAGAATTCAATGAGCAAAAATCGCGAAATTGAAGATTTGTAGTTAAACATGAGACTGCGACAGCGATGTCACAGCACAGTGAAATATGCTATTTAGCATCTTCAAACAACTTTTATAATTATATGCGACATTCATTACACGTGGTGCGACGAAAAGCCGGATCTATTACACTAATTAGCAATTTACTGGCATAACTCTAGGACAAAGTAAGATTTGAGTAGAGGAAATCACAACTATAAAGTTGAATACGCATTGAAGAACATGCACCGTCTGCTCGGTTTGACGAACCGGTTTTTAAGCATCGAATTACTAATGTAATGAAGTGAAGAGGGTAATCTAGATGAGTTCTGTGTGTAACAGTGTGTGTGTAATCTATTCTAGCAACATGGGACATGTGGTAGTGACACTGTAGAGAATGTAAAAATACAGAGAGGAACAGTAAAAGAAGAGGAAGGGAACAGCAAAGGAATAAGTAGAGGAATAGTAAAGGAATAAGTAAAGGAAAAGAAGCGTAAAAGAGACATGAAGCCGAAGGAAAGCTGAAAATAACGTTTAACAACAGGTATTAATAACAAAGTGTGGAGAGTTGAATGTTTAGAGCATAAAATATGTAAATTGGATACTTTACTGCCATTGAATAAAATATAACTATCATCGACAGAAATATCACTTTAATGGCTGAGTTTTAATTTTGTTCTGAGGAAAGGAAACGGAAAGTCCAAACGTACGATGATTACATCACATTCACATGAATGAGGCATGTAAAGTCAGTTGTGTAATTAAGAAAGAAATAATATACATTTATCGATGTGACGAAAATAAACATTTCAAAGTGAAATGCTTCTTTCAGTGGCTTAATCAGGCACAGTAACTCTGCAGGACCACGGTTGCTGCGATTATTCGAGAAGATTTACAGTACAACCCTTAGTTTTAGTTTAATTTTTACAGAATAACCTCACTAATACTAAATTATGTAGGGAATTACCTTCTCTTGTAGAGTTGAACACCAGAAAGTGTACTGCAGACTTTACACTTGACAGGAGAACACGTTTTAAACCCCCGTCTTACAGCCACATGTACCCCGGTTATCCTGGTTCTAAAATGACGGATAATTGAAGATATGGCGGCACAAAATTGTGGTAACCAATAAGACATGCACAATACGATTACACATAAAAATAAGAATATGGTGTAAATTTCAGTGATGTCACACCATGTTTTTATTCGAGAACACTAAAGAATATATTCTACATAGTATTTATCGTATCTGAATATAAAACTAAGAAATTTACGCTCTAGAAAATAAGCTGCCAAATCGATAGATAGTTGACTCCTGCTGCACCAGTTAATTATAAATATATTGGACTTAAATAATATGTGAAATGTAAAACATCTAATTGAATAGATTCAGTGAATGTTTCCAATATTCTAGACTAAGAAAATTTGGAACATCAATAGAATTACATCAACTTTATAATTTCAATCTACCTGCAGCATGGGCACTCATTATACACATGATACATTGGAGTATTATATCATGTAAATTTATTGAAATAGCCTGCAGCAAAGTGAGAGTACGATAATGAATATGATAAACAGCTTGGAAGCAGAGATCATAGCTGTAAAGAAGAGGTAGACCTCAGCTGTAGTCTAGTATACACATTGCAAGGGAGAGCGATAAAGAGGGAGGGATGGAGAGAGCCGATGTAGCGATTACCAAGGACCTCATTCTGCACTGGGCCCTTACAAGCAAGCTAATATACATAATGCTATAATGGCTGCACTGGGGTGTAGAATAAAAGAATAGATCCACGTGCAGAGTATATACATTGAGGGTACCTCCACCAGCTAAGTTGCTCTGTTAAACAAGTGTAACGCGGCAGATTAGCTGGTAAGGGAGCTGGTTACAAGGTCAGTTTCCTGCTCTCTTGAGAAATAAGTAATAGGTAAATAAGGGACAAGGGTGCTGTGTTTAGTAGTGTGTAGGAAATTGTGTAGGAAATTGTGTAGGAAAGTGAGTAGGAAAGTGTGTAGGAAAGCGAGTAGGAAAGTGTGTAGGAAAGCGAGTAGGAAAGTGTGTACAGGAAAGTGTGTAGGATGGTATGTAGGAAATTGTGTAAGAAAGTGTGTACAACGCCATCTTAGGGGGGGCGCCAATTGCCAAATCGTCGTTTGAATGTGGGACAATTTTGAAAAACTTAGCTACGGTACTAGAGCAAAACTTCGCGTTTTTTAGAGATTATAAAGACGTATCCTCTAAAATCATCTAATTTGTCCAATTTGCGCCTCCTGGGGGGGGGGGGGGGGGGGGGGGGGGGAACAGGTTACGTTACGCCACTGGTGAGGTATGTGTGAGGTATAAAAAGGGTTCTAAGTCTGACCCTTTTACTAATGACTAGTATCTTATTATTATTAATCTAATTTATAATCTATAAGTTTAAATTATTATTATTATTTATCTTTAACTTGTATTCTTTAAAAGAACAGTTTGTTCGATCTTATGTTTTAGAATTTTTAGATGACCTTATTTCGAAGCAACAACATGGTTTTGTAAAAAGTAAATCTTGCTTGTCAAATCTTTAGAGACATTTGACACTATATTTTATTTGATATATGAATGTAAAGCATTTGATTCTGTTCCCCATTCTCACTTGAAAAACAAGCTTGAGAGTTAAAGGATACCTGATAATGTTTTAGATATCATCACAGATTGAGAGTACACAAGAGTACAATTATATGTAGAAAGAGGGACTTCAGATTGGCAGTATGTCTGGTCTGGTGTTCCTCAGATATCAGTGCTAGGATGATTATTATTTGTGTTACATATTAATGGTTTAACTGAAAATATTACAAGAATAGAGAATAGTAAACAGAAGCTACACTGCCCTTATGAGTTTATATAATATACATCTGAAGTATTTTAGGATAGGTAGAGGTGTGGTGCCTACCACAAGCAATGTGGTCGATTACACAATAGCTTCACTGCCCAGAAAAATGTACTTAGGTGTATGCCTTGCAAATCAAGTTATGTTATCCAGATCCGAGGTATATGTAGATAGATGGATCCTAGTGTGCCAATAATAATATGGTGCTTATGATAGGTGTGCACTGGACTTGTAGTTGGTAGTGCGCTGATTGTTTTTGTCATGGGATAACTGACGGTTAATCCATGTGATTGATGCGGTGCCCGGTACTCTTCAGTACAGCTGTCAGATTATGGAGTGGGAATGAGCAGATCTGGTGTCAAACAGTAGATGCGGTAAGAGTGGTACTAATATTAAGAATTGCCACAGTGCTTTTCTTCCAGAGAATGTAAGACCATACTGGAACAATCTCAATCCAGATGTCTAAAACTCTGGGACAGTTCTAAGTTTTAAAGTTAAATTAGAAGGATTTAAGAAAGAGATGATTTCTTTAAGTTCTGTAAATTAAGGTTATCTTACTGTATATAAAGCGAGACGATTTAAATGATAGGTATATCAGTTGCCATTTTACTGACACCACGGCATCAACTTGAACACAATTTCCGTGAGAGATATTCTGTTGAACATTTTTGACTGGGTCAAATGCTTATATGGTATTTTTATCAGTAGAAGAGAATGTGACAACCAGGTGGTGTCAAAATCACTAAATAAATGAATATTTAGTTAGAGTTTGGGTTAGGTTTAACTAAAAACGATTTTAGCGACTTGGGGATTAAACCTAAGATATTCATTTTGCTTTTCTTTATCATTAACATAATTGGTTCCCTCAATTCTTCCTAACACTACATTCGAAACATTCCAAAAAGTAACAGGAACCAGTTTAACTCTAAAGTGGTGTCAAAAAAGAACGATATTCATCGATTTATCACAATACTGAGGATAATAGATGTGGATACTGGTGGGGAGGTGAAACACATTTGTTTACTTTAATAGTGAGCACATGTTCGGCGGGTTCAGGAGGTGAAACACATTTGTTTACATTTTTAGGGTAAGCACATGTTCGGCGGGTTGAAGAGGTGATACACATTTTGTATTATAGAAGGCTTGTAACACTTGTAACGCTTTCTTGTTACCCCCCTTTGAAGGCCCCGAATTATTTTCTGAACGAAACCTCAAAATTAACCGAGAAATCGACCTTCTTATTAACTCATTTTGATGACTGTTTCTGACCTAAAATTGCACGAAAAATCGATTTAGCTAGGTTTCAGAACCTATAAACACTTCCTTATCCCTCAAAATTGATGTTTTATAGTTGATACGAGCAACAAGCAACATATGTTTTGATCCTTCGGTTCTACTCATGACCTAGGCAGTTAAGCTGAACCCGACAGATCGAGGCAATCCT